TGCCGGTTGTCTTAGCTCTAAGCCAGCCAGTGGGGCTGAAAGTACCATCTCCCTGCAGAGTTTCCACTTCCAACAGCTGAAGGTCATTATCCATAGCCAAGGTTGGAGGAATGCTCGGACAAGTGGCGCCGGCCCAATATTTAAACACATTTCTCAACAAAACAACCTCTGGCGCTGCGTGACAAAGACAGCCAGATTCATAATTGACCCCTGTCCCTTCCCACCCTTATTAGTGCACCCCTTTTTCTGCTATTATTATGACATATCTCAACATTTATGCCTTTGAAGTGTTCAGGATGTTGTTTTGAAGTGGTCCAAGTATCAACCACTGTCAAACGGGAACTCCGGGAATGTCCAAGGGGTCAACCTGGAGTTCCCTCTGTCAGGCTGCACTGAATAAACACATTTTTCACCCACTCAACAGGCAGGAATGTCTGTTCCTCAGAGCTGACTACATGCATTCTTGCCCTGCTCCTTGTACGTGCGTGCCTACTGTCCGCGCTATAGATACATCATGTACAGTAAATCCCTTTGGAGAAACTCTAGCACTTTACTGCGCTCATCAGCAGCACCTGTCTGCCTCTCGACTGTCAGCTCTTTTCACTTCACTACATCTAGTGTGTGCGTGTGTGTGTGTGTGTGTGTGTGTGTGTGTGTGTGTGTGTGTGTTTGTGTGTGCACCGCTGCCCTCTCTGCATCCTCCCTCCAAAGACAACAAACTTCTGCAAACTGAATACATTTCTCTGTTTCATTTCCTTCTTCCTCTAGTATTTCTAGATATGACAAATATTGCAGTGGTCGGAGACAAACTGGACACTTTGCATATATAAGCGTGGTGGGAACTTTTTTATGTTCCTTCGTGTGTGTAATTTTTTTTGGGCCTTTTTTTTTTTTTATATATAGAGACAGCTGAAGATCGACCGGAAAGGAGGGTAGAGAGAAAGGGGATGACACGCAGCAAAGGGCCACAGGTCGGATTCAAACCCGGGCCGCTGCAGCAACTACGTATATGGGTCGCCAGCTCTACCGACTGAGCTAACCGTGTGCCCTTCATTTGTGTAATTTAATAGCAAAGAGTCTGCAGCCACGCTAGCTTATCTGTGGTGCTTTCAGCTAAATTCTAACTTCTTCTAGCATAATTACAATGCTGATATATTTGATTAGATATTGAATATTTAACCTGATAGTGGCACTTAATAGAAAAGTTAAGTGATCACCAGAATTATTACATCTTGAAGGGGACATGAATGTCTGAACCAAAATTCACAGCAATCCATCCAATAATAGACCTTTTTTTTCTATTTCATGTCAAAATGACAGCTGTGATAAACTTCTATTGTTAAGATGTCTCGCTAGAAATCACAAATGTCATCCTCATAGTGATGTCTCATCCTCTAAGGCACATCAATGAATGAATGTCTGTACAAAACTGAATTTCAATCAATCCAATAGTTGTCGAGACATTTCAGTCCCAAACAAAATAATGGACTGACTGACAAAGCGACAATCTCTAGAGTCATGTGAAGGCTCAAAACACCACAGACCCACAACTTTCCGTACTAACCAAGGTGAAGCCTCTGAAGGATTCATATCCACTATGACGGATGTGCGGTATCTAAAGATTTCAAAATCAGGTGGAAGTTTACAAGCCTTATATTTTTGTTCAGGCATGCAAAGACAATGGAACTTCCTATCCAACGGCGCATCCTGTGAATTTTAACATTGCTTGACAATGACTAACAAAGATGATGTTTTTTTATTCACTGTTTTAAGGCCAACACACTATCAGCTCTCTATGTAACAAATGTAGCAATAAAGGTATAAAAGGTTTAGGGCGTTATGACCAAACTTGGGCAAGAATGAATCTGTTGATGACAGGTAGAGTTCACATAGTTCCACCATCTGCACAGAAGTCCTTCCTTTCTCAGCTTTGCTTTACCGGTCGCTCGTATAACAGCTCAACACAGTCCTCACCAGTCTTGTGTGAGGGCAAGTGGCAGCTGTGAGCTCACACTGTGACACATCCTACTGTACGTCATCATCAGTGTCATCACTCAGATGGTAAGACAGGTACAGTTGTCAGTAAATGCCTCACATCACAAGTAAAGGGTTGTTTTACAGATAGGTTTACCAAAAAACCTTCCCTCACTAGTGGAAAGAAACACTGAGTACAACTGTGTGGGGGGCCTTTGACATTAAAGTCTGTCAATAGGGGGAGACTTTGATGAATGGACTTTCCTGTAAGCAAATCGCTCAACAGTTCCATAGCGCACAGGACATCTTGGATACTACACACAGATCAGTTTTTGGCCTCATCAAATTTCCCCACCCTGTTTAGAGGACGATTGAGTAACAGTTCCATTGTGGCGTACAGTGGGGAGGTCTGTACCCATGAGACGCTCACAAACCATGGGCGGGGTGGGCTGTAGCCTCCAAAACTCACTACCAAAGTTGTCACATCACGACAGAAGAACTACAAGCAAAGAAATCCAGCTGTGAAATTGGTGATACATTTCTCAGCCCTGTTCTGTGACTGAAAGCGGCTTTCTTGTTTTCAGTCGTAGGCATCTGCGGCTGTAAACCACAGCAGCTTAGAGTTCCTTGTAATGGTGGAGCTGAACACATGTACGTAGCTCAACCACAGCTCGGTGATGTTGTCTTTAAACAAAATATTTCCACACCTTTCATCTACTAGTATTACTGCCTAATAAGACACTCTTTAGAAATAGTTAATAGAGTTCTTTAAGCTTTTATAAACCCTTTGGAAATTACTTTTAAGTTCATGTTGTCACTAATAGTTTAGTTAGGAAATCATTCACTTATCCTTTATAGACCAGTTAAAAGCCATTAACAAAAACAACTTTTTATTCGCTAGGTTGAGAACAGAATGACACTTTAATTAAACCAGGAAGGCACCAGCAATGTTGGAAAATATCTGCATTTAAGTAATTAATAAAGGTATCTTACAACAATACATAAAGATTATAAGTAGTTTTGATCAAGGCATTTAGGTCCGGATGTTCTGGAGTTCTTTCCCAGAAAGTAAGTCATTAAAGAATTTTGTTAATAATGGCTTATAACTGAGCTGTAAAGCATTACGAGGTGTTTTATTAACCATTAATAAAACACTAGTTGCAACTTATAAAGGGTGCCTTATTTGAAAATGGCACCATTTAAGTGAAATGTCTATTTATCCCAATAATATTCTTTTCAATGTAATATTTTGTGAGATAAATATTTGAGGAATCTAAAGGCAAAACACTATAAATGTGTGAGCGTGGACAAAAACTCTTCCTCAACAGGCGTTTAAATGCAGCTGGAGCACACATTTCAACAGCAGGTCTTGGGTTGCGCTGTCAGGGTGTGTCAAAGAAAGTAAATTACCAGCAAATACCGGGACACAGTGTATACTTTGACTAGTAGTGAAAGGTTAGAGGTCAGACACTGTCCTTTCACACCCTCTCTATTTGTTAGCAAGCGGTGCACATGCCCAAGCTGTCCTTCCGTGCAAAATGGATTTGTAGCTTCCTCAAATCCATATTGCACCCTGCCAACTTCCTTCAATGTATTTCCCCATGGGGCACCGTTTCCACTCCTCCAACATTCAACTTCAACACATTGATCCACCACCCAGAATCAGCTGCAAAAGCAGTGCATCAAATTAGACTCTGTTTCCTGGATTTTAACATATGTGCCTCAACAGAGCTTGTTTTCTTAGAATGTGTTTACTTTTGAAACTTTATCTCTTGCTGTAAACTTCAACCTACTTAAACACAGTGACACTCCCCATTTCAACCTTAAACAGGCCAGCTGTTTGCATACCTGCATACACGCGAGAACCACACCACTGAATCACACTCTGTCTCACACAAAGTGAGGAGGATCATTTTTCTGTGAGTGGCAGTTTAACATCGGTACACGTTTCATTACACAGATCTGAAAGATACTCACCTTCCCAGTTCTTCTCCAATTTCATAGAACTCTTCCATGTTCTGTTGCTTGAACACCGCCATGCCAGGTGTCTTCATTGATGTAGTTTATCTCCTTGATATGCGCCACCAAAGCCTTTCTCCACAAGTCCAACCCTGCTGATACAAAAAGGTCTTCCTGATGATTTCTGACTGGAGCGATGAAAATATTCACTACATGTTTCAGCTTGCTGTAAAACATTCCATCTCAGAGCTGTACCTTCTTTAACTTTCTTGTGAGAAAGCCTAAACACTATACGTTGATCAACAAAGGAAACAGTCTATCTTTCACTTGTCTAAATACTGATTACTGGCTTTAAAATGTAATAAGTACAACTCATACAACTGTGCCAAGCTGGGCAGAGTAACAGTGTTTAGTTTGTGTGATTATTACAGGATTATTAATGAAAAGAAAAGAGCATTTTAGGTAATTAGGACAGGATGTCTGTGAAATTTGCTCGCATTGTGAAACATTTTGTCTGGTATGTAAAAAGGCAGACATTGGCAGCAACATGCACTTTGTAACTATTAAAAAAACCATGTGTACAATGGATTACATTTAAAAAGAGAACAGCAATTAACTGGACACTTTAAAAGTGTACAGTTATGTACATACAAAAATGTGAAGACGAGAAACTGTTCACAAACTGAAATACCACAAACTTCCTATCTGGTAAGACTCATGTGACACTTGCGGCTCTACACACTGACTGCAACCATAGCTTATGCTGTATTTTACCTTCTGTTAGATGCAGAGATGATGATAAACTTCTCCTACAGCTGGTCCGGTCTCCTCATGGCTGTAGCTCAGACACAAAACTGCTCCTTTAGCGTCTCTGTTGTTTTCTGTCCCTTATGGCAGCACCCATCAGGCTTTTGTGTCTGCAGAAGTCCCTCCCCCTGATGGCTCTATTATGAAACTGCAGCACGAGAGAGGCAAGTCTTTCAATAAAGATGACTGGTTTGGTTCTGAACTAAGAAATCTTACAGCAAGCAGTTTTTCTCTTATGAACTCCTACCAAACAGAGCACGTTGAGTGAGCAATTATTTATTTGAATTTGAATTGGTATTACAAAAACATCACAGTGGCATATACTTAATGCTGTAACATAAAAGCTTTACACGTTTTATCATTAAATGATACCGATTAACAATGAACAAGATATCATAGAGATTTGCATACAAAAAAAGTGAAGTGCCCTACAATATTCTGAAGTCATCTTGCTGCTACACTTGTGCAATACATTGCTGGAAGAAGCAAGAATGGAAGAAATGAAAGAAAAGGTGATAAGATTAAATGTAGCTTATTCAATGTAGCAAACAGACTGACGACAGAGTAGCCTTAGAACAGAAGTTGTTTACTAAAATATGAGTATAAACTAAAAACCTACTGTATGAGCCCTTTGACAAAATGAGTGGACCAAAAAATCTTAAACTGATCATATTTTTTTTATCAGTAGAGAGACCTGCTCTCATGATGAAAAACTAATTAGATTTCTACTTCCACGGGTCATTTCTTCCATTCACATTTCCATCATCAAAACAACCATAATCCTGCCATTTGTTCAAACTCAGGTGGTCCAACAAACAAAAACGTAGGCGTGATGCTACGGTGGACAATACTGTAACAGAAAGAAGGTAGTCGATTCTGTAAACAGCTCAAAGTACAATTAAAATAAAGGAAATTAAAAGTTGTAACAAACAATATAGTTGTAAACAATATATCAGCACACAAGAAAGGGGCTAAGTGGAAGAAAAAAAACTTGTTCCTCTCTTGTGGATTCCCATTTAGACATCAGTTTTACTCAAATCTAAACATGGTTTCTTTCTAAACAAGTTTGGATGTGTGGAATATTAACTTTTCCATATTGGTCTGTTACATAGTAGACATTGTAAACATGTGTAATAAAGAATATGGTCACAATGTTAAAGAGCAAAGAACTTCATCTTTAAGTACCTGGATGTGGAAGACAGAAAGGTATTGCTACACTTGTTTAGCAATCTCCTGAAATACTTCCCTCATAGATAACAAATCATATTTCCATTTTCACACACCAACCATTCTGACAGACTGACTTCACAGCCACTTCATCCGAAGCTGAACGACAGTATAATAAACTATAAAACCATACCGTGTGGAGGGTACCAGTGAACTGGTGTAAACACTGGCTAGACAAATGTTATACTGCCACACTGAGGACAATTCATGTAAATACATCAGCATTTTCAGACAGGGCTCAGAGAAGTAATCCCAGCATTATGTGTGTACAGTAAATCTTGCAAAATAGATTTTAGCCAGGGGGAAATTGAATCCTTTGAACAATCCCAACTTATTTTTTTGAAAAATCAAGAACATTACGAAAAGAAAACAGAACATTACACTTAAGCACAATACTCACAGGCAGGGGTATTTTTGTTAGGGCAAATAAGATATCTTAATACACAGAAGAGTTGCAATAAAATAGTCAGATAATGAGGTAATTTGTAGGGGGTCCACTGATTTGGTCAGTGACAATTTTAAACATTGTCCATAATAAATGTGTTAAACGATAGTTTTTGTATACAACAGACAGGTCTTTGGGAAACATTAAGTAATTAAGTGGTATTTTAGTATAAAAATAACTTGACAATATTAAGAAACTCTGCCAAATATGGACAGATAAACTGGAATGTCCAACATTACAGCACTGACTGACAGCGTTAGCATGATGGCTCAATTAGTGTCTCCAATTATTTTATCTCAAATGATAATACATGGGGAGACAGTTTTGTTTTTGATCTGAGGTTTGATGGTAGACTTTTGTTTGAGTTCTTTCGAGGCACAAACGCTCCTTAGAGGCTGGAATGATATGTTCAACTTAAAAAACGACCTAGGGATCAGAAGGCTCTAAGACTTTCAGCAGAATTTGAATTTCAGCATAGATGATTCAAGTGCATGAGCAGACACAGGGATCAAACACAAAATATGTGTTGTTGAGTGGCAATGTGGAAAATATATAAAAAAAAAATATTTAGTTAAACATTTTTAAGACTTTTATGAAAGGAACTGGGGACAGAGAAAGCTAAAGAAATGAAAACAAGAGTTAAAAAAAATAAAATACAATCATTCCTTCAACAGGCATAAAGTTGAAACCTTTTAAAAGATCACAGCCATGTTTTCAAAAATACTGATTCGGACTGAAAGAGTGTAGCTTGGCATTGAAGGTTGAAGAGCCATGGACAAAGCACACTGTTCTGGCTGTAAGATAAACACACAAGCATACAACAAATAAGGCTTTTACAAAAAAAAAAAAATGGCAGGAATACTGATAGAAAGCCCATTTGGCCTGTAAAGTTTTTGTCTTTTGATCAGATTTCACTCAACATTTATAGAAAGTTGACTGAAAATCCCTTTACAACTGCAGCGCATCACTGGTGTGGTGGAGGTGTGATCTCTTCATACTTCAGCTGGGAAATGTGACAAGCTTAAGGTCAGTTATCCTCCTCATCATCGCTGACGAAGCTCCGTCCTTCCTGACTAGTCTCTCTCTCCCTGAGGAAGGTCTGCCTGATCGCCTCCAGCTCGGTCAGCTCAAGGCGGACTTTCTCCAGGTGGAAGGAGCGGCGGTTCTGAATTTGCCGCATGGGGAACGGGTTCATGTCCATGAAGGCGATGTTCATCAGCTTCCTGGGAGAAAGAAAAGAAAAGCCCTGTTTTGTATATTTGTTTTAAGTTGAGGGCCACAAGAAATAACATTTTATCCCTGTGTATTTATTCCTGTATGTGGAAATGGCAATAAACAACCTTGAAAAAGATCTTTTGTGTATTCCTTTGTACAAACATTCAGACTATTATGACTGAGACTGATCCTGCAGACACGCCATCTTCAGAGGTCTCATTGTTATACGCATGATTGCAAATACCAACACAAACTGCAGTTGCCGTACCTTGAATCCAGGATCGTTTGTGTGAAGTATCGAAGATATTTGAAGATGGCTGTGGAATCCTGCAGCTTCAAAAACTCTTCCTCTTTGTACTTGAAGAGAGCGAGGGCGAAGCGAAATATGATCTGTGGAGAAAGAAAGAAAAAAAATGATCAAAGCCGTCAAATCTGCCTCATGAGTTTCCCCGTGTGACCGTTTACCATAACACATCATCCCTCTGACACACAAAGCCACTTTAGAGGACTGAAGGCAGAATTTATTACTTTTAGAGGAATGTGCGTGAATGTAAGCGTTTATCAGTATTTATAAGTTGATGTGCAGTGGAAACCAGCAAATCTTTGAGCGGGTGATAACGAGAGTGTGGGTGAGGGGAAAAAAAGGGGGGCCAGATTTTTAATTATGGGTTTTTGTGGCGCAATGGCTGCTGATTCTGTACAGAGGTGAAAGTGGCCCAAATTGGAATGAAAAACACCAGATTCAAATGTGATTTGCAGTCACATATCAAAGCAAAGAAAACTGGACTTTGGGCCACCTGCAGTCTGAACGCAGCCTTGATGTATGTGAGAGTGGTTGCTCTTAGTGATGAAGCCACAGATAGTTATCACCTAAGTTTACACTTCCCCTCAGCTCAACAAGCTTCACAGCATGTTCTGAACTCGTGTTGGTTTTCCGGGCCACAACATCACTGTTTTGGTTTACTGTCAGAGCTCTGATGCTGTGGTTTCAGCCACAGCAGACTTCCATTTTTCCATGACTCTATAAACTAACTGCGGGCCATCTGCCCAGCAACAAAACGGCAGATGGAAAAAGTTATAGAGTAGCCAATGAATAGCATTTAGAAGTTAAGTAGACAGATGTTTTCCCCTCAGGAGATAGTGGACAACAGAAGCAAAACTAAAAAAGTAAATATTGGACACAAACAGGACTCCACATGCATGCTACTGTCACTGATATCTGCTGGATATCTGAACAACAAACAGTTTGCTTACAAGCTTGCCATGATAGTTTTGAAGATGTGGTAACACAGCATGTCAGTGTTGTATCCACAGCTCGTTCCCACTGCCCCAATTAGCCAATAATAACTTATTGCAGGTTTTATGCTGCATTCATTGTTTCTTTTGGCAACTTGGGGACAGCACTCCGCAACAAACTAAAAACCACAAAGTAAATATGTTGCTAATATGTTAGCAAATCATTGGCTATTTACACATCGTCCACATTAGTTTCCACCTGGTAAATGTAAGTCTAATACTAACACTCCTTTTGGTTGTGTTTTGGTCTCCTGAGAAAAAAATATCTCAGTCATCAGTATACTTGGTGTTTTGACTTTCTTCAACAGCACATGGTGAGTTTATCAGATCTTTATTGCTGAAAACAGCTGCCCTCTGCTGTTGGAAGTGAGGTTTATGAGAGCAAAACAAAGCTAAAGCAGGCAAAAAGAACAATTTTCAGTTTCACTATGAGTGGTAATTTTCAAATTACACATATATATTTGATCCACTGTTAATATTACATAATATGAAGTGGAGCTTTAACTTTGCATAGCCATAAACTCAACCATGTCAGTCTAACAGAGGCCTAGATAAATTCTAACTACACAGACAACTAATCACACATACCATCTGTGGAGACAACAGAATGGCTACATCGACATTTTCAAAGGTCTCCTTATCTCTCTTTTTTTTTTTTAAAACTCTGTCAGCATGTCCAGACAGAAATCAGTCTACGTGACATTAGAGGGATCACAGTTTTACTTTCTCCTCTTACGCTTACCTTCGGGCCTTCAAACAGGAAGGCATCCCAGATCTTGAAGAGGATGTCGCTCACCACACTGTCCACAAACACCACCAGGAACCAGTTGAAGGTGATGAGGGAGAAGTCTACCTTGTACTGCTCAAAGTGGGCATGAAGCCGCGGTAGCTTCTCACACATCAGGTCCTTGAACACACGCTGGTCAACCTGCCCAGACACAACCAAATATTAATACTATATTATTTGTTTTATTTTTTTTTACAGCAGGAGAAAACATGGGATCAAAATCCAGCAGAGGAGAGAAAGAAAGCAACCAGTGCTGAGTACTGTGCTGCATTCTTTCTATGATCAGTCATGAGCAGCAGCCTCAGTCACATGGATATGACATCACTGACCCCACAGAAATCTGCAGATGGGCAGGAACTTGTCCCAGTGTCTCCCAGTGCTGGAATATAACATTTGAGCTTGTTTACCTGTGAGCCAAGCAGAGTCTTGGTGTAATAGTCTCTTGGCATGAAGACTTCCACAATGGCTATAAGGCTCCAGAAGGCGTCCTCTTGGTCCAGATAGAGTAGGGCAATAGCTGCCAGCCTGAGGAAATTACATGAAATAAAAATGAATGGTTACAAGGCAGAAACGATGAGAGGGAAAAGAGCAGTAGAACAAGTCCTGTACCTGTTCAGTCCCTGGCAGTAGCCGATATCCGGATTCCTCCAGGAGAAGGCCATCAGGACGTTCCTGAGTTTCTGGATGCCACCTGCACTTGGGGAGGCATAGTGCTTGTTGTTGGGCAAAGTACGCAGCAAGTCCAACTCGATCTGCTTCGAGGCCGGGTTAGGCTTGTCCCGGGCAACGTTTAATAAGGTCTCATAATAGTCAGGCGCCAAGTGGTCCCGAAACTTCTTGACATGGAAGGAGACACACCAGCGCCACACCTTGGATCGGTGCTCGTGGGGCACACCGCAGCGCATCAGGGCTTTGAGCTCAGGGGAGCGCACCAGGTCTCTGTTCATAGTGCTGGCCAGATAGTTCTCCCACTTCACCCCGACGGACACCTCCTGATCCGTCATGGATAGGGACTTCAGCTCCAGAGCTCTCACCTTCGCAACCAGCTTCTCCTCCTCTTCCTCCTCCTCGGGGACAGTCTTGAAGCCGAACACGTCGTACTCACTAACATTAAATCAAGGCAGAGAGAAAATGTAGGAAAATTATCATCAGTCAGCGATGTTCAATTCATTCCAAACATTATTAAAATTTTTAGGGGTACCCACATTTGCTCAACCTGACTTCAGTGTTATGTCACTTAGGAATTGCCTGATTTTCTAAAAATACATTTTGACGAGCTCCAGAGGACATGTCTGAGCCCGCACAGAAGGTAGAGCAATAGAGACTGAAATACCGATTAGCAGAGCTGGTTGTTCTAGTCAAAATAAATTGGCTGCAGCTGTTAATTAAGCAGTAAAAGTAAAACAAGTCTGGTTACTGCATTGCTTTGGGTCTATTATTATTATTGAGGGAACACTAGGGCTGTTGCAGGGAGTGACCTGTTTGTGGACTTTTTCTATTTAACTACAGTGTAGCTGTGCCTGAAATTTCTCATTGTGTCATGGTGTGATATCATTTACATTTAGCCATTTATCTTTGCAAAACACGCTTGAATGTTAAAATACTGTATAATTACTCAAAGTAGCAACTTATATTAGTTGAAATGAAAACATAGTAGAGAAATTTAACACAGTTTTCAAAATGAACAAAACCTTTATTTATGAAGGCTTTTTGGCATAGTCCATACCTGACAGTATTTGGTTTAAAGATGGGGTGCTCTTGTTGGTCGGGGCTTTCTGCCTGCAGTGCATCCTCTAATAATCTGGAAATGACCTCACGGGTTTGGCTCTGCTCTGAAGACGAACACACCGGGGTTTTCACTTCTTGAAGCAGCACCAGGTACTTACTCTCCACCTGACACAACTTGGCCTCCAGGGCCGTATACTGCAGCAAAGATAACAGAAACACATTAGCATTTATCTTTGTTACAGCAACTGACAACACCAAGATCAACGTTTGTTATTCATTGTTTCTATTTGGAATTTTTTTAGGTTTAGGGGGCACCAGTTGAGGTTAAAGCTGGACTTCCCCTAAAAGCTACTCAGACTTCCTGTTTCTATTAACAGAGTAATGCAACATTAACCGAGAAACACAAGCGAGTACCTTTGCTTCTAAAGCTTTTTCTCTACTCTCTGAATTTCTACGTAACACTGTCAGCTCCAGGATCTCTTTGTTCAGGAACTTGTTCTGGGATTTGTAGCCTTGAAGACTGTCCTGAAAAGAGAAGGAGGAACATGTTTATTCAATTACAAATTCAACCAGAATAAGTGCTTCCAGTGCTCATATTCATCAGCTTATCAACTGTATATCTAAGTGTTTCCCTCTGTACCTTGAGGATGTCCAGCTCCTGCTGATCTTTGTTGGGAGGCGGTGAACCGGCGTCACTGTGATTGCCGCTCTGCTCCGAGCTCTCCTGTGACAGCTTTATGATGACTTCATCCTTGGCCTGGATGGTCTCCATCAGCATCCCCAGCTGGTCGTTTATCTCCCCCACCTTTATTTTCAGGCCCTTCAGCTCTTGTTGCAGACTCTCCTTCTCCAAGGCAAGACGCTCCATGTGGCCACACAGGGACTGGATCTGTCCGTCTTTTTCCTGAAGCAGGGCCTCCATCTGGGTGTTCTCTTCCTGTGTTACTACTGGACCTTGAGTCTGGTCTGGAGGTGCAGATGAATCTGGAGCTGGGGCTGGTGGCCGCACTGGCTGCCTGTCACACTGGGAGGTTCTCAGAGTTTGCTGCAGAAGTCTCACAAGCTCCTGGTTTGGGTAAAGAGGAATTTTTGGTCAACACAGTCTTGCAGGGCCTGTTCACAGAAAACACTGATGTGTTGAATTCAATGTACATTTTTTTGACCTTGTGGGGTAAATTCACAAAGGTATAAATGCAACCTGGTATCAGTGTGTAATACACACATATGTAACATCCAGTTACAGTTTCAAAATAAAGTTTTCCGAGGTATCATTTTGGTTATGTTTAGCAAAAAAAACTACTTGGTAAGGTACTATGGCTGCCACTGCACTTTAATACGTGTGTGTACTTGGCACATCTCTAGTGGATCGGTGGATCTATTTGGCGTGAGATGGGCTGATAAATGTTTGTCTAGTCAACAAAAAAGCTGCACTCTTTAAGGACAGCTGCATATTCTGTTTGCTTTTACTTGTATAACAACTGACCATATTTTGAATTTTAAGAATATTACATAATTTTTTACACTTAACATTGCTGGATTCGGAGGCAATTACATCCCGGAGTAAAGTTATTAACTTCTGTACTAACAAGAAAAGTCATACAGTAAGATTTTATTTTCTATAACTAATAATACACTGTACACAACTTGTGTTTTACAATGTTACAAAGAAAAAAAGCCTGTTGTTGTTCTTCAAATCAAACTACAAAACTACTTCCCTGAGGAAATAAAAATAAAGTGGGTCACTTCAGCTGTGACCGCCCAACATCATAAATAGTTTAAAAACTTTAAATGATCACATGTAGAATAGCCATTATATTTAGCGGGCGTTTTTTTCAGGCCTTTATGTACTTACTAAATTGCACACATCAGGATGTGTAAGGATCCGGGTGGCTTACCATCTCGGCTAAATTATTTCCCAGGAGAAACCCTGCTAGTTCACACTGTTTGACAGAGGCCAAATTCATGCTGACCTAAGCAGTAACAGGTAACAGAGCCACCACTATGCCCAGATAACCAATTACGTGTAAATACAGAGCATGAAATTCAAGAACAAAAGTTTACCATAGCTATGTACATCATTAAGTCTTCTGCACTGAGAAAATGTGGCCAATGTGCAAATACTTGGCTCACACATTTACACTGATGTGTGTGTGACACAAATACACCCACATGCACATAGTCACACGGATGCAGACAACAACACACAGTTTTCATCTGCAACTATTTTCTAACAAGGGTAGAAAATTCAGAAAACTGTCCACAGACAGGTCTGAGGATTAAAATGTGTAACCCAGACAGGTCTGAGGATTAAAATGTGTAACCCAGACATTGTCATTTTGCAAATGTAATATTTAAACACTGAGCACCATAACCAAGGGACAGCATGTGGGAAACAAATCTTTCTTTGCAATTTTGGATGAACTTACCCTTTAATACAGGCATAATGTGACTAACAAATTCAGTCTAGGCCCAATATTACCTGGAGGACATAAATCAATAGCATTAACAATACAGTGTCAGCTCCGGTCCACTTGAACCTGAACAGTGCCAGGAGTGACCGAGTGTTTCCACCATCATTTACACAGAGACAGCCAGCTGACTCAGTTAATTCCTGTTACAGTTTTGAGCTGGCAGTCAACCACTTCACAGGGGAAGCATACACACACATACATCATATTCATCTGGCTTACATCGCAAACCATTGTGACCGATAGGCTGGTCTCTAAAACACTAAAACAAGAACAGAGAGTAATAGAAAGGAACGACGCAGCTGTGAGCGTTGTTAACAGAACTGCTGTTTCCTTGTTTCTTGCTCAAGCATGACTAATCATTTGCTGTCTTCCGGTATTGGTGAGAGCATCAGGATTACACCAAACTGTTCAGTCACCAAAACCTCAGGCTTGTGATGAATTAACTACAGTGATAGCAAAATCACTCCAGTCAGCTTGGCATTTCCCTTACTGTGGATAACTCACACCTTATGAAGTCACTCCAGCTGTTTTATGGTTAATTGTGTAAAGTTTCTGGACCTAAATGTGTGGACCAACTTTTATAGCAAACCATCTGATAGTGGTTGACATTATTCAGGACAAAAGTGGTAGACCAACAGAACTAAAAATGCTACACATCCTCGTGTTTCAGTGCATTAGGCACAATGTAACCATGACATCCAAGGTTTAAATGTATACTCTTCACCTCCCAGTATCTTTCTTTCTGCATGAAGCTATAACACTAAAAATCCATATACTTGTATTCTTTAAAAAAAAAAAAAAAGACATTTCATTAGGTGAAATAATGAGTGAAGTAATGAGGGATAACTGTACCTTCTGACTGGCGAGCTCTTCTCTGAGTTTGGTCTGTTCCTGCTGCATGCGATTAAGTTCTTCTTGTTGGCTCTGGAGGCGAAGCTGCATCTCCAAAGATTTGCTTCCATTACACTCCACTGGCGAGTTCTCGGCACTGCGAGTGTCAGCGTTGCGCCCAAACCTCATTTCTCGGAGCAAAGGCCTCTTGGGGCGCGCGGAGTTTCGCACAAAGTCAAAAGTAAAAGCTGATCCGAAGGAATCTGAGAGAGAAGAGAACTGCATTACTTTTCTTTTTATTGGCTTGTTATCCCCACCTATAGTTTTAAATTGTACTTGTAGATACTAGACATGAAGAACTAATAAGTTATTAAAGTGTTTCAGGGGGCTGAAGCAGGCAGAAAAATGCATTGATTGTCCATTCGTAATAGTATTGAGCGAATGAAAAATAAGGCAGCAGGGAGTGGACATACGTCTGTGTGTGTCTGGATGATGTTTCTGTTCAGGGAAGTCCTTGGGTGGAGCATCGACCAGTTCCCATTCCTCTGCACTGCTGTTGCCAGTGTAAAACACACTGCGTCTGTTCTCGCCTCCTCTTCCCGGCCGCAGATAAGACATGGAGTTCCTGACAGAACAGACCAGACAAGAGGGTTAGTAAGACAGAGACTGTGGAGATTCAGTGTTTTCTGGATATTAAGTGACCGCTACTATGTAAAAGCTTTTCTAAACCACAGGGATCAAGGACAAACTGCATGGAAGACCGATGCTCTGCTACTTTGTAAATAATAGCATTAGCACAAACCTTTGTTGAGGCCTTTATACTTTCCCCAGCAGGCCCTGGAAACAGAACTGCAGCTGTATATATAAAAAGCTATATAAAGCTCTACAACCTAAGACCTTGATATGTCTATGTTAAACTAAACGGGGGAGCCTAACTAACCCTAACCCTAATTAACAAGACATTCTTCGATGGAACATCGACAGGGTCGTGTCTAAACAAAAGCCTACACAGACTCATTGTTTTTTACACTTCTGAATGTGAGATCACTTCAGACGCAACTATTTTTGTGCAGCAGCATGAAGTCACGTACTTTAGTTGTTAGGCTTATGGCCACCTGACAGAACAGACACTGTTCCATTTTAATTCATGTATCCATCTACAGCAGCCCCATAACAGATCTGTTCGAACCCGTGACCCAAAGCATCTTTAAACATCATATTTCAACTGATAACATTCTTGAGCTTCAGCTGCTTCTGATCATAAGTTATAACTGTAGCGACTTACATATTTAGACACGCAACAGTTAGTTACAGATAAGATGTTCTACTGGCCCAAGGAATGTAAAGATATCGCAATACAACTCAGTAAGATTCAAATTGGTGAGATGAAAAATGAATCATGATTTTGATTGTGGTGTCAAGGTTTCATTCCAAAATATGCAACGTTTTGCACACTTTATACCCTACTTAAGATTCGATAATTTGATAAAGAAAAATATATTTTGTAGATTTGTCTGACAATCTTTTTCAGCCATGAATTGTTTTCAATCTAATTTTGTTAAAAGAATAGTAAGAAAATGATATTGTGGACCCAGTATTGTGAATTGAATTGATCATAAAACCTTATGTCCCTAACTGGCCCCTATTTCAGTTAGTATGAATCATTTAGCAATTTGTTTGGAGACAAAAATACCAACAAACAACTAGTTGCTGTGAGTTTTATATCTGCTGGAAACACCCTTCGCATTCTAAAATACGAGATGCTAAATCATCATAAAAAAGTCAGAGCACACTGGTATGGAGACAGACATACTATAAGAAGTAGGCAGCAATGCAGCTCAAAATGCTCCAAGATTCCTGTGCACCTTTAAAAGTGAACTCTCTTTCTATCACCACACAAAGCAAAGTCCAAACCAATGCTGCATTTTTAGCATTTCAGTGTGTTGCATCATTTGAATGGATGTGTTGTATGGCCCAGAAGGGGAACTGTTGAAGACTGCATACTAGCAGCCACTAGCAAACTATGGCTATAACCGTTTCCTCCACTGCAGACAACATCGGGAAGAACCTGAGGACGTATTCTCTTTCCTCAATACAGCTCTATTGATGCACATGGAAGACAAACTAGTTGTGCCTGTTTAGCAGGGCCTCCAAACAAAGACTTGAAAATACGCTCTATTTTGAAAAAAACTGTGGGTATCATGCGACGAGGGTGCGGAAAGGTTTCGTTCAGGCTTACCTGATTTCTGTACCAAAGTTTCTGAGGGAGAAGTTGAGGGTGTTTGTGGATGCAGCAGAAGGCCCTCTGGCTGACTGGATCCCCACCATTCCCCCACCATCTGTTTCTGTGTCCATGGCAAAGTCGCTGCGGACCTTCTCCATGCTGTCGCTCAGCTTCTCAAAGACAAACGCGTCTAAGAATAAAACACAGAGCCTATTAGAACAACATAATAATATGATCGCATGACTGATAATGTCACTTGTTTCCCAGGACACCAGCAACTATTGTTTGCTGAGGAAAAATAACTGTGTGTGGATTCCAGAGTAAAGCGAGGCAATATTTTGAGTTGCCCAGAATGCTATTTACAGCAGGGTGGATGTCTGTGGCTCCCTAACCATCAGAAAATACAGAATGTAGCATTTCAGAGCCGAGCGGGCTAAATATAAATGTTCCTCTTTGTGTGAATTTAACAGTGTGGGAACTTTTTATAATAGAGCCAAGCAGCTCCACATTTCCAGAGGGGGAAACCTGCCGCCACCGACACATAGTTGTTGTTACACTACACCCGTTACAGCTTTAATTAACGCAGCAAATTAGTTGATGGGAAGTCAACATGGTTTGTGTCTAAACCTTTATAATCAGTAGCTACTACATGATAGTCTACAGCAGCACTTTGGTTAAACTGTAAAGAAAAGCTTAGTCATTAATCTTCTTCTAGTTGTGCAAAAAGAGCAACATGTGTCCTCTTTACAGCCGGAGGGAATATTCCAGTGAAGGAGACAATAATGCAAGCCTGGCTGATCTTTCCTTCATTTCATCATAGCTCAGGGACCAAAGATCATGGACTTCTCACAGAGAAATAACTCCAGATATGAAAAAAAAAATTCAGAAAAACACTTTTGTATTCTATATCTTTACTTTCAGAACCAGCTACTTTTTGTAGGATCTATTTGAGATGTTTTGTCTTGTATGGGGGCTGACGAATGTTGACAAAATCAAGTATTATAATACCATTTACTAAATATTGTATCTGTATATTGGTATTGATATACAGTGATAACATGGCTATTTAACATGTGGCTATTCACACACACACCAAGAAATTATGTTATAAAGAAAAACATTTGTTATGTGTATGCGGCGACAGGAAAAGGAAGACACATTCACACTTCATTTCAGCTCAGCTACACCTGTCAAAACAAGTGTCAGTTTACTGTCACTCAAGTGTGAGCAGACCTAAAGATCCGGAATACACACAGTTGTTGTGTTACTTGCATCAATCTGAGTCTCAAAGTCTCTTATTTGCTTCAAATCTAGAGGAACTGCACCTTTTCTTTTTCAGGATGACCAGGGATGTTTGAAACTAATGAAATATTTGCTGGTAATGGTTGCATTCAACATTTAATAGGAATTATATGAGCGTAGAATTTAGGTTCTCCTAAAACAATAATGTTTGCTCAAATAATGAGTGAAACCTGTGAGGGTTGTTTTTTATGAAACTGGTTCAGAACAGCCTCATATCCAAGTGAAACAACAAACATACTTATAAACTTTTACTTTTTTACTTTAAACTTCTCTGTCAGTCAAACCATGTGACTAACCTGTCTGACTCCACGAGGGTCAACACCTTGAATGTGAACAGCATTTTGCTGGTGTATAAAGCTGGTTAGTGGAACACCAGCATTACTGATAGAGTTATTAACATATTACACTGTATAAATATAAATCTTGTTTATATTGTAAATGCTGCTGAGATGCATTATGTTAACAGCGGCAGATGCTTGTGAGAACCTTAAAAATAACAAACAGTGCACTCAGTAAGATTTTTGTTTCTCTGAGTGCATTAAAATAAAACACACCCCAGATAAAGTCGATGTGAGCTGATTTCTTTTGTCCGCTTTGTTGATTTATCATTGAATCAATGCTGGACCCAGCCCTGTCCACATGCTGAAGGAACATGGCAACACAATGACATGACTTGGGTAAATATTAATCCATCAGATACAGGTGTTCGCTTTCAGCTGGTGCCTGGATTTGATGGAAATTAGTGAAAATGAGTGTGTGTGTGTGTGTGTGTGTGTGTGTGTGTGTGTGTGTACCTGCCCTACCATTGTCTTTGCTTACGAGGCCGGTCGGAGGGCAGGCCAAGGTTGGGGAGCTCCAGCTGTCTCTCTGACCGGACCCTCGTGTGTTGCTGTACTCCCAACGTTTCTGCTGTAACTGCTGGAGCCAGTAATGCATCACCTGCCTGCTGGGGGCCTGGGGTAAACACAAACACACACACACACACACACACACACACATTCACACAGATAAGGTTACTCACAAGACCTATATCAGGGATCCAAATGTTAAAAGACAACTCAAACATCACTATTAACAGAAATCCACTTTTACTAGATGATAACAGCTGTGGGGTTAAATAAAACACATGAAACAGTCCCAAAGCTCTTTAAATAGCAGGTTACTATTCAGCTCGGTCATGTGAATGAGCGCAGACGCTGGTTTCAGTCTCAGTTCCAGCCTCGGGCTGGGCGCAAGCTGTTTGGTATTAACTATTCACACCATCTGCTTAAAAAAAAAAAGAAACTGATGTAGACTTTAGCGGGCATGTCCGGCTGAGTGAAACCAGAGGCACCTGTCTTGGGACCAACTCAGTCACAGTCACATGACAGCCAAAGACAACAGTCACATGAGATGCTGTGACCCGCTCTCCAAAAGGCAGAGAAGGCTGATGAGCTCATGTGCATTTAAATCAGTGCTAAAATGATCTCTACATGTAAACAGAGGGCTGACGATGAAGCAATCAAGCTGAGTAGTGTGCTGATTAAGCTCCTTGTCTAACAAAACATGACCCACATGTATAATTGAGTTTCTTTTCTTCTTAAGAGTTGTCAAATCGCAGCTCTGTTAGCAGAAACATTTTGAGGTACCAGACTAAAAAGCCAAAGCTGTAAAACAAATCTGTCAAGTTAGAAATGGGTGTGTCTGCCTTTCCACAGCGAGAAAGGAAGTGACAAATGACAGCACAACAGCACGATCTGCGCTGTGCTGCACACATGCTGAGGGGGGAAAAAAAAAAAAAAAAAAAAGTTCCTACCTTCAGGAGGAACTCCTTCCCGGCTGTGCGGATCTCAAACTGACCCTCGTCCCCCTCCACGTCGTAGCTGAAGCACGCGTCGCCTATCTCGATGTGCCCGAGCGGCAGTGCGTCTTGGGGAGTCTTGAAGTAATACAAATAACATTTCCTCGGATCATACACGAACCACCTCGGCTTGTACCCCCTCAGAGGCCCCTTGCCGGACAGTTTGTTCAAGTAGCCGCACAGCTTGGAGGCCTGCTCCTTGCTGCCCTCGAGCTCGGCCACATCCACCGACCTCGCGGCCAAAATCCGCGAGGCTGCGCAGGAGCTCGTGTCCCTGCTGCCATCCTCCTCTTCGTGCATCTTTCCTCGAACTTTCTTCTTCGTGCAGCACAGCGGATGCCCACTCCTGTTTCCATCCGCATGACTGCCTGCCTCTTGGAGAGGGAGGGAGGGAGGGAGGGAGGGATGACGGTGGGGAGGGAGGGGGGATCATGGGAGATGTAGTTTGCGTCGATGGTGACGTGGTGGACGACGTGCGTGTGCGAGGCAGCGAGTGCCGCTGGGTGGTGGTGTTTGAGCAGATGTGCGGGTCTGAGAGGATTCAACTGCGACAAATGGTGAAGAACTCAAGATGTTTTCAGTTGTATAATTAATCTAATTAAAATCCCTATAATTGGAGATAATGAAAGAATCAAAATGTTCAAAGATTTTGAGGGGAACATGGCTGGATTCCTCTGTTAGGGGGGCCCCCAGGGCAATAATGTGCTGTTGGGTCCCTTTAGACTCTGAATACCACTCTCTGTATGTACCCTGTCGCCTCCAATATTATATTCAGTACAGTGTCCACAGTAGATCTACAATATATGTGCAGAACCCCAGTGGAAGACTGATAATTTACTAAATAAAGTAGCAACCATTGACAGTATAATATAATAAATAAATTAGATAATAAAATCTATTATTATATTATATTTATTATCATAATAAGATAAATAATAAAAAGTATCAAAAGTAAAAGTTGCCTTCTTGTTAGGCAAATGGATCTTTCAGGTTTATATTGTTATAATATCTGAAGGTTATTATTAATGATGTATGAACATCTAATGTTAACTTTAATGTGAAGCTGAACATTGAACTTAGGTGCAGTAGATTCCACCACTGCCAACAAGCACTTCTTGGCTAGAATAATACAACTTGTTTCCCAGGTTTCTTTGTGTCACAATATAAACTAAAATTATGAAGGTCTTAAAACTGGATTTGATACCATCATGTTTTCAGTTTGGGGGATTCTCATGCTTTCATTCTGAAAGACTACAGTCTATAGGCTACTACATCTATATCTGATGTTTGAACGGTGCGTGTTGTGTTACTGAGGAGAAAAAGCTCCCATTTTGGAGATACAAAATCTTTACCCCACAACAGCATAGATAGATAGATAGATAGATAGATAGATAGATAGATAAATAGATAGATAGATAGATAGATAGATAGATAGATAGATAGATAGATAGATAGATAGATAGATAGATAGATAGATAGATAGATAGATAGATAGATAGATATTCCTTTATTTGTCCCACAATGGGGAAATTCCAATGTTACAGCAGCAAAGTGGATAGAGAAAAAACAGTAAGAGTATGTTGAATGTAAAATCCTAATCTGAAAAATAACTATGCAACAAGGGATGAATGCAGTAAAGTGAAAAGTACAGTATTGGGCATCCTGGTGGGCTAAAGGTCACCACAATATCCCTTGTTTGATTTTGACTGGCTGACCTTTGCTGCATGCTAGATGCTCTCCCCGTGTTTCCTCCATTTGCATAAACTTCAGTAAATGCAAAAATGAAATACAAGATCAGCACCTATAATGTTTTTTTTACAGTATGTACTTGAAGATATTGTATCATTAATAATACTCTTTCTGCTTGTTTTTAGGAGCTTATCAATAAACCACTCATCACATGTTCAAATGCACTTAATTATAGGCTATGTTATTCACCGTGTGACTCATACAGTAACACTGTGGTCTAGCACACAGGATGATTGATGGATCTGAACATGCTACAACATGATGCATGTAGGTCTTAGAGAAAGTAAACAGTTGATGATTGTTATTTTTCCCACTTAAACTCTTTTTTTAAAAATAATTGCAATACAGTAAAACCAAAAACACCTCTGATAACTGTAACTTTTTTGTTCAGGTTAAGTCATTATTTTGGATACTTTTGGGAGAATTCAGTTAGAAACCCTTTCTAAGATTTAAAGAAAAGTGTAAGCAAAAGTGTGCGTGATTTTGTTGTAATGACATTTTACAGACTTCAACTGACTTGTGACCTTTTAAAGACCCACATCCCCCTCATACTGTAGGTATTTTGCCAGAAGACAAAGAAGATCTTAAGGAGCTTTTTGTCTGATAAATGTCTGATAACTGCTTCCTATTATACATCCGTTTACCTCACAGCTGCTGTAGATAAAATACATTCCACATATTCATACACTGTTAATAGTACAGTACTATACGCATTATATTGAATGTTACAAACACGGAACTAGTGATAACATTTGACCCCCAAACTCTCCACACCCCCAGAGGAGCGCGTAATGACTCATAAAGACATTTAAAACCGACGCACAGCACTGTTGAGATGATGTTGAAATTCTAGGCCACAGTACTGTAGCAATACTCCATACGTGGAACAACTGTGGGTAAATGGTGCCTGTGTAGATGGATAATAAGCTTATCATATCTATAACATTATAATTGGAGGAAAAATAAACTTTGTATACGTTCAGCGCCACACTGATCACACTTTCAGAGGCAGATTTGATCAGCTGTGTGTCGGGGAAAAAAGCAGCAGTGTGTCTTCTGAGATCAAAGTTGGAGCCATGGTACGATTGGGGAATGCTGAAATGCAGTCTCATCCCGCTCATATGACACAGACTGTTTCTGGTTATTGTCTCTCCCCCACAGGGAGCTCCTGCTCACTACTGAGCAGCAACCAAAACCAAAAAAGGTGATTCATGACGACTCCATCGTCCCATGGGGGGAATGAGTTAGCCATTATTTATGACAACCTCAAAAACAAGGCTGGGGAAATGTCTCATCTTGTTAGAGTTTTGTTTGTTTTGTTTGCCCTCAAAAATCTCAGCATACATTGGGAATCTTCCCAAATATTTCCATCCTGTCACTTATCTGGCCCTGCCTTATCTGCTTTGATCTGAATTTATTGCAAACCAAGGTCAGAACACAGAAGATCAACTGCTGACGCAATTTATCTCCCATTACTACAGTAATCAGAGAGTCTGTGGGTAAACATGTCCTCTTGCAAAACCAACGCTCTTGTGTGCACACAAACCACAGTTTCTGTTCGGCTTACTTTCCGTTTCTCTTCAGGAAGCTCTTGCTTTGTTCAGCAGCCTTTAGCCGTCTCTGCCATGCAAATGAGCTGTTTGAACGTGTGTGCCGTTGCCTCAACATTGCTGCTTTCCAAGCCGGTGGAAAAAAGTGTGTAATTGTAAATGTCATCTGTCTATATCTCCCATGTAGGGTTATACTCCCTCAGTTACTGACAGTTCAGAAGTTGAGAAGCATTTTAATGTCTGCTGAAATGACACCAGGTTCAAACCACACACTGGCATTCTCAAGGAAAGGTATGTACTCCATCTCAACTAAAAGAATAACTCACCTTATAATAACAATATCTGAGCTTTACATTAAACTGAGAATAATGTCTCATTGTCCATTTTTTATTCTTTTTCTAGGAGTTGAAAGGAATTGCTGCGATCTGCACAGGCAACAAAAGCCCAGATGTGAGAAGATCTGCAACTTTTCAGGGTCAAGGACGAAGGATCAGAGACAGACAAAATCACCCTGCCTCAGGACCTGTCTCACGTTTTGCTTCAAGGTAAGCACTCACCACCGCGCTCACCAGAACGGGTCCCTCCTCACTACTTTACTAACTAACTTATTAACAACATATCTCCATGCAAAGCAACAGTTTGCCTAACATCATCAATGTAAATAAAAGTCTTGTTAGAACAAAAGTATTTTCAGAGTGAGAATGGACTTTGGACACTGAACTGTGTTTGTGACTCATATGAAACTAATGTGTTAAATATTGTTATTTAGCAGTAAATAAATATGGTACGGTAAATGTTAAACAATATAAGTTAATGTACACACATGAGTGATCAGGTTTTTCATGCAACCCCAGTTTTAATCTGGAACAATGAGAACACTGAGCTACTTTTACTCTCTGGTTGACGCCTCCTGGAAAATAAGCAAATAAGCTGTTAAAATACAGCCTCGCTGCTTATACTGGGAAATGTGTGCCAGGTTGTTTCATCGGCTGTCTGTGTGGCTCTGATTAGGACCGGGCGAGGATGGAGCAGAGGGAACCACCAGTGGATTCTCATGCTGAAGGGACTGAAGGAAGACTCAGGGAACTGGCTTCAAAGTGGTTCATTGACACTCAAGTGCCACTCATCGTCCACAATGGCTTCTTCCCCACTTGGTTCCTGGGCTTCATCACAAGAAAGTAAGGTTTCATTGAGGAAACATCTCAGTATATGGACTATGATCTATTATTTTCTGTCAAGCTAGTATTTCAACTTTAAAACTCTATTTTAATATAATCTATATATATATATATCTAATTTCCTGAAGTGCTATTATGTCTTATTTTAAAGCTGAACTTCCAAATAGAGAGTAGCAGCAAATGAAAAGTTGTTATTTATTTGTCAAGAAAATAAATGTATATGGTTTATATATATGTTAAGTGAAAATGTATTAAAGTATAAGTCAGACATTTAAACATTTAGGACTGTCTGTTCAGGGGAAAGTAGTTTTTCTGGCGCCAAATATACAATTGTTATGTCTGGAGGATTGCGGATTCACCTACGTTTTTCCGATGGAAAGTGTCCACTTGGCAACACACCCACTCTCACCTACTGCCCTCTTCTCTGGCAGACATAGACACCTACATAAACAGTACAAGGGACGTTTCGTCAGAACCTGTGTATTGGTGAATGACAGGTTTATGGAAAAGACATGTAACCAAATGGATTTTCCTTTGATACAGTGTAATTTCCATGGTGAATTACGTGATCCGCCTCAAAATCTACCTCACTGTTACTGTAAACTCAGGCCAAAGGGTAACATTTTTGGAAACACTTGTAGAAAAAACTTTTTGGGTTTAAAGTTCTGCATTTGTGTATCTACAGGGATGCTGAAGAAATACTCAGAGAAAAGGAGCTGGGCTGTTTCCTGATCCGGCTCAGTGATAAGGCCATCGGATACATACTGTCTTACAAGTGAGTATCAGTTTGCTCTGAAGCCTCAATATAGTGACTCATCAACCAGCTTCAGTATTGTGAAGAGCCCATGATTGTTATCGCTTTTCAGCCAATGAAACCCATGTTTATTTGTCTTCTTTAAATTTAATTAATTTTCAGATTTTTGGACGAAACCGCTCAGGAGATAACATATATGACATGCTTTAACAAATATTTATTTTCCTGTTGCAGAGGCAGAGATCGGTGTCGACATTTTGTGATAAACCAAAGCGAATCAGGGCAGTTTGTGGTGTGTGGAGACACGGAAGGGCACAACACAGTTTCTAATCTCATAGAATACTACAAGACAAGCCCCATTCAGCCCTTTGGAGAGTATCTGACATCCTCGTGTTTTGGGGTGAGACAAAACTCCTTAGTCACTTTCTTTAAAGTAGCATTGATCAAGAATGATGGTCTAATTGGTGTTTTGTTCTTGCAGGCGCTGAATGAAGACCTGTATGATATCATCCAGGTTAGCCCTAAAGAAAAGCCTGTGACCACTCTTGGAGCTGTGAGGAACGTGAGCAAACAACAGACAGACCCGGCCCCAGTGCAGCCGCCTACTAGGCCACCAAAGAACAACAGGACCCTCGAGGTGAGTACAGTCCATAAGTAACAGGGTTATTCTAACACTGAAATTGTTACCATATCAATATCTGTAGGCTGACTTGGCTTGTTTCGTAAAACAGGAAGTACCACCTTTGCCTCGGAGGAGCAGACACCTCGATATTGGCCCCCTGAATGACCAGGACAAGGTTTTGTATGCTCAGCTCAGGAAGCAATCACCCAGGGAGATACCAAGATTTCAGCACCTGTGTCAGGACAGTTTACCAGGAGATTATCCAGGGAGAGCAGAGAGATCCACAACCCAGGATCAAAACACAAGGAGGTATAGTCCTCCAGCTGGACCAGACTCTGTGTACTCTGAACTCGGCCTGCTGGACAGCAAGAGCAGGTCTCTACCGCTTCTGGACAACAGCTCCGACCAAGAGCAGTCTTACAGGCTGAGCGCGCCCCCACACACGCCACCGAGACTTTCCCCCAAGCCTGGCAGACAAAACACTTGCTATGGCCCACCACCAGAGAAGACAGACTTGTGCAACAGACCGAGCAGCAGCCACAGCCTGGAACACATGAGTGACAATGCTGTCTATCACCTGGCTGGCAGGCCCGGTAGCCCACACACTACTTTGTCTGAAACCAGATCAGAGGAGCAAAGTGATTCAGTATATGCCGAGGTCCCTGGTGACGCCGTCATCGGCCGCTTCACCCACGCCAGAACATATGAGCTGGTTCCTGGCCATGAGGACACAGCCGAACCTCAACCAAACACTTACGAGCCTCTGGAGGACATCAGACCCAAACATAACCACTCATGGGGATTAAAGGTTAGTTATGTTTGTAAAAATACTTTCATTTAAATACTTTGTTCTTTGTATTTAATGTTCGCCCTATTTATTTACTGATTCATTTTTTTAACTCCTGCAGAATGATAAATGGAAATGGCTGTTCCCAGAAGTGAAGAGGAAATGGTGAAGAGGTTACCAGCTATTGAAGCAAATGTTCACTAATTTCGCACTGACACTACAGTGGTCCTGCCTAATATACACTCTGTGAAAGCGTCTTTTATATACTATTGAACATGGGCTTACATGTTTCTAAACTAATCAAATGATATCTTCTGTATTTTTGCTTTTTAATATATTTATTTAAAAATGATGATGGAGTTACATTTTGTTGCCACGTGCTAAATAACGCAAAAAAGAGAAAAAACTATTGTCTTTCTCAAATGATTATATGAATTTAACATGTAAGAAAAAGGGTGTACTGTGTTTATAACTTTAAATAATATTTTAACTACAGACTGCTACCATCAATGATGCGCTTTATTCACAGGAAACTTTATTTGCATACAGATTTCAAATGTCTGTATACGACAGCAACGGGGAAGTGGGTCAAAGATGTTGAAATGTCATTTATTATCTGCTATCATTTGCTGCCCTTTTACTCTCTAATTATAGTTTTAGTGCTAGTCACTAAAACCACAGTGTAACTAAAACTTAAAAGGCCTTGTTATGTATTGGATGTTTTCCATGGTCATAATTATCTTTATAAGCAATTGAATACAGTAACAGCTGCACTACTGTTTTGTGTAAACCTTAGGAGGCAGAAATGAGGAAATAGGGTGCTTTCCCTGCTAGTGATTAAATGCAAACCAGCACAAATGATACCACTAGAATATCAAAACATTCAACTTGGAAGATTAACGGTATTTTGACATTTCTGTCACAACTCAGCTGATAAAGTGTCACTGGAAAACATAAGAAAATGTGTGTCACTTCTTTTAACAGATAAACAAGATATCAAGTGCCTGAATATGTATGAGTGGGTTTCTGCACCTGTGAATAACAAACACAAAACACAATGATCGAGGTGCAGTGGGCAAAATACAGCGCAATTCTGTGTGCTGTGGTATGGATAGCCAAGAGAAAATGAAAAGAAGTCATGAGATTGCAAACAAAAGTTATACAAAAACAACCATTAACACTTTAACCCCCTATTTAGCATTTCTTAACATTATTTAAACACTCAACAACACGCTAATATTAAAGTAGTATCAATGTATTTGTCAACAAATATCCATAACTATTTTAATGAAAGATTGATTACACTGAATAAATACATTTTGGAGTGTGTTATAAAACACTAAAATCTTAAAGGTTTATTTTCAGAAATAATAATAATTTGAATATATTTAAATGTATTTAAATATAATGAATATAACAAAATAAATACTTTAAATTTCATATTCGGGCAGACATATTTTTTTATATGATGACATCTTTGTTATATTACATTTTTATTAAATTGTATGCACCAGTTACAGAGGCTTCACAGGAGGAGTTATTGTTGTTAACAAATACATTAGACACTTAGCAGTGTCCCTATACTGTAGTTTGTTACAGTGTGTTATAAACCATTTATTAATTTTTTATATACTACTTATAAATGCTACTTATAATAGGTAGGGTTAATATAAAGTATCCCAATCTCTTTCATAAACTGTTCATTCAAGAAAAAGTAAAATATGCAGTAAATATTGATACAGTTCACAGTAGCACCACCTTCCACCAACATCTCGAGCAGTATGTAAGACCTCCACTATCGTCACGCTGTGAAAGCTGAAGGCACCATCTTAAATCAGATCAAATTAAAACAGACAAGGTCCCATGGAGCGAAATCAGTGTGAGTTTCACACACTGTTCGCTCTCTCTCAACCTCAGAAACAGTTGCTCACTGGCTGCTTTACAGCCCCAGTATCACATTGCACCAGAAGCTTCTCTGCTGGAATCATAATTAACAGATGTTCTCTGTGAGACCAGTAATTAATGAAGCCACACAATCAGCTCAGTATTGCCCTGAATATTTGATACTGCCCTCATAAAGGGAACTGGAGATAATGGAGTGAGGAATTAACTGGCTGCTCTGATGACTGCACACTGTTTAACTGACTTCAACATCCTCCTCCTCGAGGCAAAATAAGACTCAATGTCAACTTTTCCTAAATTTCTCAGTGTCCACAAGAACAGTGGAACAGTTGTTGATCTGCATGCATATTTCTTTTTTTCTTCCAGTCTGAACAATAGACACAAAACTTCCTTTCCTCACAACACACTTGAGATTAAATGGACTTTGTCTATGGCAGGTTGCTACTTATACTTTGCTGCTTTAGCCAACATCTAGTGTTCCAATTTTTGCTTTGTAAATCTTCTGTATTTATCAGACTCAGCACCATTTAACCAGGTCACATTTCTTTGGCAGCCATTGCACCTGGCAGCAAAGACGTTAAGCTGACTCGGATGTGACTCTTGCATGACCTGAACATCTTAGTGACTGATAACAAAATGTTCTGCAAGTATGGCTACCAGCACAGAATGAATCACTTGTACAAGCTGAGCTAAAAAACAAGAACTGTACAAAACAACACAGTACACTGGACTCCATTGGTACCTGATGAAAATCTATAACATCTCAGAAACCCCTGTTAATCATTAACCAACATGAATGGGGGCACATCCACTGGCTTCTCTCCCGTTGAGATTAACTGTGTGTGCTGGATGTAATCATGCTTGTGAGTGCTGAGGCAGCTCACTCCTAATGATCACATCCTGCTTAACAAGTTATTACAGCTCATATGGTGGACTATGCAGAGGCACAGCCATTTCCTGATCTTTACTGTGCACACTCCTTGATCATCATGGGTGAGTAGGTTCAGATGAACTGGTTATATGGACGAGATATTACTGAACTCCTTGCAGATCAGGCAAGGCAATTAAAATCATCACTTTTTGGTTAACAAACATCAAGAGCTCCTCTTGATTTAAGGATTTTTTTAAAGTGACAATAAAAAAAGGACTTAAATCACTCCAAACACACAGAAAAAAACCCATTTATTCAAAGTAAGACAAATACCTGAAGTCACATAAAATACTGTAACATGTATATCCAAAAGATGGCTTTATGTAATAGCTCATGACAATGGCTAAGGCAGAAGATGAAAGCTACCAAAATAAGTTCAGATGACAGAGCCCTTCATTTAACTGGACAACAGTAAGATATGATTGTCATCATGTTCCAGTTCCACAAGCAAAAAAAACACAACTTAAAATGACAAAAAGCAATACACTGCATGTACAAATATTGCATAGCTCATATAAAATATCTGTATGCCCTTTAATGTCAATGCTGTGCTTTCATTCACTTCAAGCCTTGTCCTTTTTAATACTACATTTCTAGTGTGCCATTATAGGAAGACTTCACTGGGGATATCTCATGTGCTATATAGGTATAGGCTATACGCATACTATGCATTCTTGAATGTGCTCAATAAGCAGCAATCCAGAGTCTGGCTCATTTTGCACTTGTTTCATTGACAATTTCGCAACCTTCAAATGTGGAAAGAATAGCTTTTTTTTTTTTTCCAAAGAGAGGCCAATCCAGGTTAAGCCCTTTTATAGGTGGTAAAAGGAAAATACTTGAAGAGTGAAGTGAGTGAAGAAATTCAGGGTCCTGGGAATTCAGCTTTATCCAGTGTTTTGCTTTCTAACTAAGCAGACTCCACTGAGGCTGGAGAGGACTGATGTATGTTTTTTTGACGATGGGAGTGGGAGACAGGCACTGTGCTGTGGCCAGGACAGGGTGCAGGTAGAGTCGTGATGGTCACCATTCTGCCAACCTGGGAGACTTTCCACAGAGAGCCCTCTCAGATCCTTATATGGAAGGTACTAGAGTGACAGAAGAGGGACTAGCATTGAAACAGTAGTAGTCATTGTGCATGTAAACATACTGGCTTTCTGTGTATGCTAGTATAAACACTCAGGAATCAGGCTGATAATTTCAGTTGGGACAGACAGTGGTGAGGCCATTTGCATATAAATGAATGGGCATAGTGGGCTCAGGATTAAAGTGATGTTGTTAGGCTGACAGTTAAATGATGAAAATGATTACCAGCCATCTGGGTAATGAAAACTGCAAGTAACCAGGGACATACAGCGCTGCAGCAAGAGGGTAATGCATGCACAGCCTGATTTTAAAGTGCCACTGCTTTTCATATGGTATGAGATATATACAATGTATTAACAAATGCTTTTATATATGTGTGTATATAAATATGTATATATAATATAATACATAATAAAACATTATTTGTCTTAAGAGAGGTACATTACCTTAAAAAGTCGGGAGCCCTAGTTATCATATTTTCAAAGTCAGCAAAGGATAGTTTGTTGTCTCCGTCTAAATCCGCCTCCTCGATGGATTTCTGGCACACCAGCTCCACCTCTTCTGGAGTCAACTCCTCCTTCGTCAGCCTATTTAGAGTCTTTTCCAGGTCTTCTTTGCACAGGTAATTATCCACATTGAAATCTGTAAGAGAAAGAGCAAATAATTAGTCATTTTATTGAGTTCTAGTAAATTTAATCCATAATGGAGGTTTTAGAGGTTTGTCATTACCGTATATTTTGAAGGCATATATGGCCTTGAGCTCTCTAGAAGCCGTTTCACTGAGGACTGAGAACATGTCCACAAATTCATTGAAGCTGAGATTCCCCATCCCGTCCTCTGAGAAAGATTCTACGATCCTGTTGCGGAATGGGTTTTCCTACAGATGAAGAAGATAACGACATTTAAATACATCAGCGTGAACGTTGGTTCACATTAATGTAAATATAAAGATTCACTGCAATGCATGTACACCATGTGGTTTGGATAAGAGTTTCATGACCTTTTGTTTTTACACGCTGTTGTCACAGTTTTACATATGAGTTGAAGCGGTTTAAACCGGTAGGTGTATTCTGCTGATCACAGCGTTCAAGTGAAAAAGGCTGACTCCCTCTCTTTGCTGGTATGGTGAAGCCAATATTTTCTCCTCCGTTGCTCAACCATAAGTTGCTATTAGAGATTTTATATCCCAGGTAATGAGCTGATTTGACACAACTTGTAATAAATTCACACTGAAGCAGAGGCCATCAAGAGACCTGGAATCTCACTAAATCTACACTTTTAAGAAATATACATATAAGTACACAATAATAAGTACAGCTGTTGTCAGAAGCATATTTGAGCTCAATAGAAGCTCAGCAAAAGAATCCAACTGAATAAACAGCAATCAGCCATCTAAAGCAATGCCATTTTTTAACTGCATATCCTGAGACACGTCAGTGCAGCCTGAGTAAGTGCAGTCGACTCAACACAGCTCATTAAAACTGAGTAGGAAATGTATTTATGAAGCTGTCGAGGACTTTGTGTGATTGTATATTGTCTGGGCCTCATCAATCTTGCCTTTGGTGGGCTCCATCTTCCACCTGCCACCTTACAGGCCCTGCAATCGTGTGACAGTTTTACAGGCAAGGGCCAATTATGCCCAGTGGAAAGACACATTATGAGTCTAAACCCTCAGTGGATAAGGACCCCATATAAAATTGTGTGGTACTCGTTGGCTGTGATGTTATGCAACATGCTATTTCTAAAAATTCTGGATGTTCTTTTTCAAATGGAAGGTACTTAAAAATAGGAGGGAATGCATCAGTCAGGATAGAGAGGCTGAGCATTTCATGGCACATTAACTGGTTAAAAATCAATTCTGTCCTCTGAAAGAGAGTGTGTATTGATTAGGTGTCTGCCCACATGAGCAGTAGGTGCCATATGTGTCCTTACAGCACGATCCAAAATAAGACAACACAATGCTAGTACTGAACGTACTGATAGCGGAAAAACAAACTATAGGTAAAAAGAGGGTGATTAGGAAAGTGTTTACAAGTGACAACACATTAATTGCATCATATTTGAGGTACCGTAAAGATGTTTTTACCTTTAACTCTGGCATGTTGACTATTAAGGCTAAAGGCAGTTTACAATCAGGATCATTGGTGTAGTCCATTGGTACAAGATGTGGAGCCAACTCATGGTATCTGCCATGCAACCTAGAATAAAAAATAAAAAACCCTTTTTGTGCTTTTGGCTTACTTCCACTCAGAGAAGAAACAATATACCGACTATGAAACGAACATCAACATTTTACTTAACATCTCAAAACTTGCAAGCACGACTGACATATAGACTAGAAACTAGAAACAAGACCACAAAATTAATCAGAAACAGACAAAAACACGTTACATGCCAGGCAGGGCTTGTTGTGTGTGCATTTTCTTCCTGCCTGAAATGTATCATTACAAATTAAATGAGTACATTTATGCATCGTGGAATATAATTTTAATTGTTCAGTGTTCAAAATTTGCAAAAACAAATGCGAGGTGGCAAGAGCTCCCTTTCTCTCTGGATCACAGATTAGTGTTGGCTTATATGTAAAACCTTTGACCTTGTATATATTCAAATAGTTCGTTTGATCTTCTCCCTCCCTCTGTAGATAGCCTTTATACTGCAAATGTCCCTGTAGTGACTTTGTGATTATTATTTATTTCCATGGCATCAGAAAATGGGTTTACAGTGAAGCATCTATTGATCAGATAAAAATAAACAAGAAACAGTGACTCAAAAAATGACTAACATTAAAAGCGATTGTTGTCAAGTTGCGGGACATTGAGGAAATTTTTTTTATTTTGAACCCTGGTGCCACATCTGTGTTTGTTTTGGTGAAGTTCTTATTATTTATTTTTTTTTTTAGATGAGCAGGTTAAGTCAAATTTTTATTCGTTTGCCACCTTGTTCTGTCCTCCCCAACATTTTGAGAACCTGTAAATTTGCCATTTCTTTTTCACTTCTACTCCGATTCCTTCAAATTCTTCGGTTGTCCTGTTATCTTCCATTTTATATATATAAATGGGATATAATGTACATAATTAGAATTGTTAAACTCATGCAACTGGCTGTGATGGTTTTATTTGGAAAAAAATGTAAATCCAATATATTTCCTCCACAGTCAAACATGGAGTTGTAGAAAGGTCAGGGTGATTGGACCAGAACAATCAAATCATTCCTTAATAAAACTATTATTCCTCTTTTCAACATTTTCACTCCCGTCCTTCTTTTGCTCTGTAAAAACCTTAACTTTATTTGTAATTTTTACAAGGGGGGTGTAAGAATGATAAAACATGATGTCTGAAAAGTCTGTGCTTATCTGCAGCCGCCACCCCCGGCCCCACTCTGTTCTTTGACTGTCATTACGTACCTTCGCTGCTAGAGCAGAGCCCTTTATCAGCAGGGACACTGTTCTTAGAGGACAAACTCACAACAATTAAATTAGATAAATCTGTCAAAATGATGAAGTTTCATTGGTACACTGCAGCAAATGAACGAGTAAACTGCTGTACCGTGACCCATGAAGTGTTTGGACCACACAGCTTATGCAAATGTATTAAAAACTATTTACATTAGGTTTCATTTCCAAACTACAACAAATTTGAAGAACCAAAAACACTGAAATGTTATAATCTACTGTTAATGCTAAGATATTACATAAGGCTGAGAGGCTCAAATCAGTGACCTTAAGACCATCAGTGAAACCGTTTCTGTGATGTTACGTAACTGTGTTGTAACCGCCGCAGCTGGCGACAGAAACAAGGCATGTTTATGAAGGTCATAAAGTGTAGGACCCAATTACGCCCTCTGCTGATTGTCAATTTTGTCTCCAGTTCAATGATGGCCTTGGAATCAAAGTTAATTCAATACCCCTGAGGAGATAGATACATGCACACAATTTCTTAATAAGTGAAAAGGAAGAGAAAAATTACAAATGCATTGTTTTGTTGGAAAGAAAAAAAGCATTTTAAGAGGGGAAATGTTAAAAGAAGAAAATCAAAAATCAGAAGCCTCATTGAAGAAACTCCATTGAGAACACTTTACGTACTGCTGTGATTTTAGTGAAGGTTAATAAGTTATACCCTAAACCTGATTTTATTACGTGCTTCCAAAATAAAAAAAATAAATTAAAAAAAAAAGATTTTTTGGTTGAATTTTAATCCTTTATCAATTGTTAGTAGTTTGTGTAATTTTAGAAAACAGTAACAGAAGAACCACAGGACACACATGTCTGCAGTGTGCTACTGTTGGAGAAATTAAGTCAAAAACACCTTTACGGTACATAAAGGGTAAGATTCCTGCATGCCTGGATCAATTCATCCTTGTCTAATGTCACACTGCAACTTCCTTTAGTTTCAGCATGTAATTTCTTTAAGTAGCCATTTATCTTCCAACATCTAGAACCACTGATAAAAGATACTGAAAGGTGAGCATGATTGGTCAATTCCATTAAAAACAAAAGCAAGTAATTTGTTTAATGTATGTGTGTCATGGAGTGAGTGACGGGGTGAGTGACAGGAAGAGAGACATGATGCTACCCAGTAAGTCATGAGATCTCATGCAATTATTAACAGGGGATCGATATTTATTACATTTTTCACATGTCGAAAGAAGTAGAAATGTGACACTTTGTGGCTCTGAAAACAACACCACAGTCAAAAGGTCAACATGACTTCCAAAGGCTTAGATAACATACTGCTACTGCTACTGGACAGAACCTTTAGATCTTTATTGACAAACACCTGAATTATATTCACATCACACATATAAGAAAGTCTCCATGAACAATAAGTACACATACGGTGCCATTCATAGATGTAATTACATGTTACATAACTGGTTGCTGTGCTGCAGGTTGTTTGTAATTTTGCTGAGAGGTTTAGATTCAGAGACAAAAGAAGATAATTAATGGTTTTGATAAATTAATGGTTTTGATAAAAACCTGTTATTTAGTTAATTAGTATTTTTAGTATTTGTATTTAGTAGTTGTATATTGTTTCATAACAATTTAAACTATCCCTTCTGATGATATAACTGCTGCTGTTTGTATTGTATTTCTCTGTTAAGTATTATTTCAGGAATGGGAATATTTTCAGAATACTGCATTTTCTTGTAGCACTTGAATGGTAAAGTGGCTCTCCTGTGAGATGACAATACCAGAAATGGCCGCAAGCCAATTTGAGTTTGATGTATAAGGAAATTTAGTAGCCACTAATGTTAAATGGCAGTGCACTATTACAAAAGGCGCAATCCCTAATTTTGCTTATAGCTTCATATACTTAATTTTGTATCACTTGAAACTTCAATAAGTAAATCTATTGTCATTAAGGCTAAGTCAGATGATACCATAATGTACAACAAGTGTTTATCTTCCCCCATTTTGAGCAAATATTACAAACTGCAGCTGCCAAGAACTTCAGCATTAAGTTTCCCAAGTGGGAAGCAGTCTGCTCTGAGGACTTGGCAAACCTCACACAAGAGACAATTTGAATCACTCCAGCAGGAGCCAAATGTAGTCTGATTCATCAGACTGTATTACATACCATGCCCAGAGAAATCAGTGTCTACTTGAAGTACAGCTTAACAAAAGTGCACAGAGAAAGTAGCATTATTATAGTAGGATTATTATGATTATAGCCTTATGTTAGAGCAGGTGGTTAACAATTGACCTACAGTACATCTGTGAGCAATGCATCAGAATCAAGAGGTACAGTTGATAAAACTCTTACCGCAGAATCTCTTTGCGGGTGAAAAACGTACAGTCCTGCAATGAGAGAAAAACAGCACTGACACTTATGGTCTGTAGTCTGTGACTAATTATTGAAGGTACAATAAATATTTTCATCTTAAATGCCTAAAAACACTCTCAGTGACACATCTGTGAGTCATACAAAATTACTGTTCCTCTAACATCTCGTGAACAACCATGTGAACACCCGTGGAGGCCTCTGGTGTCTCTCTAATGATGATGATGTGTGAGTGTTGTCACCTGCCACTTGCAATAGGAACGATGAGGCATGGGCAACACAATCTGCTGCTGTCTGACATGCATGTGTTGGCACACATATTATTCAACAGCCCTACTGGAGGGACCTCATTTTACATTTTCTCTTGTATCCCTTCTGTCTGGGTTGTGAGAGGCAGGGTGCAGCCTGTTGAGGTCCAGAAACAATGTGATGAACAAAAAAATAAACCCCTTCCTACAAACCTCTTCACTGTTGCATCCACTCAAGTCAAAACAGGACTACTGAAGATATCTGGGCTCATGAATTATTGTGTGAGTATATGTAAAGCAATATCTTACTGATCATCTAATAGTCTCAATCATGTCAGGTTACACAATAAGTAAAGCCTGCACATACAAAAGGAAGTGGGGTGGCTTTGGTGAATACACACCTCAGTCAGCTGATTTCCAATTGGGTGTTTTATCTTAAATATTTATTAAAATAATAAGATACCCAAGAGGGAAAATAACTACTTAGGCAAACAGAAGGCAACAGTATTCTAATAAGCGCTTTTTAAAGAGTAGCAGGAGAAACTAGAGAGGCTCTTGAGAACTTAACAGTCTCCTGAGAGTAGAGTTTCACAGCATATCACACTGGCTTGGTATAAATTATTAAGTCCTGTGTTTCTTCACAGGAATACCTGGATTATTGTTACAGGTAACAAAAGGTCAGATCTTCTCAGATGTTGGCACAATGCACACAAGATCCTCCAGTTTGCAGTGAAATCAAAACTGTCTGCTACTCCCACCTATCAAGACGAGGTACATATTTTTATATTTCTATTATAGAGTCATAACCGACCAAACTCTAGTAGGATATTGCTTGTTGCTTGTGTGAGATGCATTAGACTGAGGTCAAGCGGCGTTGATGATCAATACTGAACACATTGCTTTCTATCCCACAAAATGTTCAGAATTTCTTGCTTTGCCCCTTGAATCCAATATGCATGGGTTTCCCACTAGCAGGAGGTCAACATCAGGAGAAAAAAGATAAATATTGATGTATAGCTAATAGTCATGGAATTGTATACCAAAGTAATGGAAAATGCATGCATTATAAAAAGAATAGTTCTTTAACTATACTCAGCGTTTTCCTCCACTTTGCCCTTCACAAAACGTGAATTCTCCATTTTTTTTTAATAACTGAACTAAACTTAAGGTCCTTACAGTAGGTCCTTTTACATACAAATGAACCTGATTAATGGACGCTTTAACGGGATTTTTCTGATGCGGGAGTTGGGACAAACATCCTCCAACATGCTGCAGGTAGACACACGGCCATGCAAGCTTACCTGGTAGGCATCAAGTTGCTCGTCGGTAAATATTGTTTGCTTATTACCCATCTTAATCAAATCATTTGTCGCTTGTACACATTCACAACAAGGAACGTCCGAAGCCTTTTCTCAATGAAAGGCATTTAAGGGGTCCGCGGAGACAAAAGTCCCTGCACGGGAAAAGGTCGACGGCGTTGCAAACTCTTAAAAAGGGCTGTTGTTGTTGTCCTCCTCATAGGCGATGTCCGCCATGACTGCAGAGGATGCATGAAAAAAACATGAAAAATGAAAAAGTGGGAGACCAGTATCCTCCTAGGATGTCTGCAGAGTCCAAGAACTGCAAACTGATCTGCTCTCTTTACGCACCGAGCTGCTGTCCACCGGAGTCCGGACAAACCAATAGGACCTCAGCTAAATAAATAAATAAACAAAATGTGAACCACAACCTGCTGGTAATGGTGCTGCTGTCCTAACTAGATTGTGTGTGTGTGTGTGGGTATTTTTTTGTTTTATATAAAAGTATGGTAACTGGATGTAAGTGTAAGAGTGTATAATAACCTATTTCAACTTAAAATAGTGGAGTATAAAGTATCAAATGGAAATAGTCATCACGTGCAGTTTTGTTATGATGTAGCCTGCAGTATTTAAGTAAGTTACCATCACACTTACATACAATGTGTATAGGTACTAACACAGCCTTAAAATAGAAAAAAGATGAATTATTCTGGCACTTTTCATATTTTTCAAACCCCTCTTTATCTACAAAAATACACTTCTATTCGCATATTTGTGTCGGTTATTTTACCCCTTTTATATTCTTCTGATTGACCTAATTCTACAGTTTATTCAGAGCCGACAACCACAGATCCTGCACAAAACAATATCATTTCCAGGTCAGTGCTGCAACAAGAAGAAACAAACAAACTTTTAATTGACCCAGAACCTGTTGCGCGGAAGCAGCATCTAACAAATACTGGAACATTTTTTATTTATTTATTTTTTTCTGTCCCAGACACTTCCTCCTCTTCCAGCTGCCAGCCTCCACACTGTACTGCTGCCATCTGTGCTTCCGCTATGTTGGACTGCAGAGACTGAAGTCCGTCTCATCCACCTGCGTGCTACTGCAGCACACTGAGCGTGTCCAGACTGCACCCCCCAGGACAGATTCACATTCACCACCAACCCCCTCCCCCCCCTCCTCCTCCAAAAACAATAACCACTGCCTTACCTTTCCAAAAGTCTCCGCCTTTTGTTGCGATAGGTAGCTTTTTTTTTTTTTAGTAGCAAAGTTGCCCAGGATGGACTCAAAGCGAGATAAAGAACAAGGTAAGTTGTCATGGATAGCTTGTTGCTACGTTGCTAGGCTAGCCACTAGCCAGCTAGCCGGGGCTTACGCTAAGCTGTAGCTAACGGCGTTTTCGTTCGTTACACAACATTTTAACGTCGTGTCATCATCAGAGGAAAAAAAAAAAAAAAGAAACAATTACCATTTCATTGAATAACCCACCCACTTTCATCCGGCTTAATCATCCTCATGAAATCACGCAGCCGCTCCCTCACGACGTTGATACAAGTAGCTACCAGCATTAGCTTTAAAACAATTACTGGTGGCTGACTGTCAAGCTAAGCTACACACCATCACTCTATTTCTCTGCAGGTGTTGACATATGTATGTCTGCTGGCCCTATTTATTCCACACACGACCGTTTCCCCCATTTTGTAGTGCTCTTATAGCACTCTGTCTGCCTGTCCTTTTATCTGTTGTTTAATCTGCACATAAAGTAAATAATGTAAAATGTAACAGGATGAGATTTGTGAAATTACCCACTGCATCATTATTTCTGCTTTAACCTGGTGAGTCTGGTCTTTAAAGTGACGCAGTTCTCCTCGGGGAATCCGTGTTTGCATTTGTGCAGGGTCATGAAATAAAGTACTCATGAGTAGTGAGAGATGATTCTGCTTCAGGAAATCAAACCAAATATAACTTAATACAGACAATGCACATTGCATTACATAAGCCTGTTTGTGACTCTGGAGCTGGCACAATAAAGGCTCAGTTGTTGTTGCCAGATATAAAAATTCACGGTCTGCTTGAATCTGTATTTACTATTTAGAGATGACTGCATGGGGTATTTGATTGTTGCACAGCACACAGAACAGACACTGTGCTTCCAGCATCCTGCTCTTGCAGCGTTGACTCACAAATTAGGGGTCTGATTATGCTGCATATTAGGCAAAGGCGCTTTGTTATTTGCAGTCTTATTTCTCTGATTCTTTCAGATGCGGACTGTGACAAGGTTACTGCTGCACTGCTCAAGTCTCGTACAGGAGAATTTGACTTGGAGTCAATACTGTTCCTCAAATTGAGAGGTCTTGGTAAGATTTTATTTATATACCACAATTTAAGCCTTAAAACATGCTATTATTGTTTAAAATGGTTGTTTGTATGTTTTACAGGGGCACACGATATTGGATGCATTGGGGAGTGTATTAATTTGGAGAGACTCGACCTCTCTGGAAATAACATCACAAATTTAGCTCCTCTAGCATCCCTTCGACATCTTTCTGTACTCAATTTGTCTGCCAACAGGATTTCCAATTTAGGTAAGGTTTCTGGAGCAATGTTCTTTATTTTCATGCTGTGTATTCACTCATCAAGATAGTCTCCATAATGACTAGAATTAGATGTCTTAATGTAATGTCATTGCTTTTGTAATTTCAGAGCCCCTACGCAGTTGTGAGAGTGTACAGAGCTTGAACGTGGCTGGAAATCTCCTATCCAGGTATCACTGTATAACCACTGACAAGATGCTTACCCTAGATAAATGCAAATGTGAATATGTAACAATAATAATTACAATATAAATTTCATTGTATACAAAATAATTAAATATGTCATTGATGTTAAACGAGAATATTTTGCTACTAGTAATTATATTTTTGAGAGCAATATTCTGAATTGGTCATGTTGAACTCATCTCTTATCTGTTTGTTTTTTAACAGCATTGAGAGCCTACACTGCCTTCAGTCTTTGAGAAAGCTAGAAAATATACGTTTTAAAGACAACACTTACAATTATACTAATCCAGGTAATTTCTAGTGACTTTATTAGAAAACAATCCAGTGGAAAATCTTGAACTCACAATCACTTTCTCTTTGTCAGTGTGTAGGAACGCATCATATAGAACCATAATTCTTGAGATGTTCCCTAACATCAAAGTGCTGGATGGTAAGATATATTTTCTTTCCTTTTTTTAATTCATTCTTTTGCATAACATTAACTCTAGACTGTCAAATGTGTTCCTGGATTTGGAGGTCTTTTTTTTGTTTGTCTGTTTAAATTGTAGGCGAAAGAGTGGTCGGACGTGGGAGTGAATTATACCAGTTATGCAAAGACATTGATGATACCATCAAAGGTAAATTTGTCAACTAGCGTGTTATCGTATCATGACTGATAATTCCATCAGTTGTTGGATGTCGTATTATTATTGACATAATCTTCCAGTGGCATTACTGACATGTCTGTGATGCAGTTGTTTGTTTGCTGCTGCTTGAGTTTTGTGTTTTATTGTTCAAGTAAAATATTATTTAACTGTTTTTCTTTCTATAAATCTTCAGCTGGTTTATACAAGAATGGACAGCTTGTTGAACATCCTGATTGCAAACCATGGGTGGAGGATAGTTACTGGGAGATAAAGAGATCAAACAATGCCATTATTGAAGAGGCCTACAAACAGTTTAACGGTAAAAAAAAAAAAAAAAAACTAGTTGTCAACTCAACTATGTTGTGTTTACAGTGTGGTATCCTAATAATCCTAATTTCTTTTCCTACAGATGTTCTTCATGAATGCAGACTCCTTAACAACAGAGCCACTCATGTAATTTCGCAAACTGAAAGATCTATGAGTCTGAAGAAGCAGCCAAAGCAGTATGCCATCTGAGCTGGGCCATTGTAGACGCATTTGTGTGCAAACATTTAGCAACTTTTTGTTGTATGATAAAACCATGACTAATGTACTGTAGGTGTCTCAAATTAAGCTACATCCAAATGCTTGATAAGTATAATTGCCAGACACACACTCCGTGTTGCAGTGTGAGGCATTTGTTGAATTTGTATCGCATCCTATGAATTGGGTATAAGTGACGATACATGTAAGTGGTTTGACAACCTTTATCCATACTGACACCCCTCAGTTTGGTTCAAAGACGTCTTTACTTGCACAGTGTGCATTTTGTACCATGTTGTACCCTGCATTTATGCCAAGAGCTATGCTGCTTAAGAATTTCTATAGGTTTAAGTAATTAAGAGCTTCTCTTTTTTTTCCATTTTGCATTTCTGTATAATTTTGGGAGTTAATGTGTCCCATGCTGTATGCTTTCCTTTGTAAGTTGAACTTATGCAAAATGTGATTGAATGATTGTTTCAGCTGTTTCTACTTGTTTTATACCATAAAGTTTATTGTGTACAATCAACATGTGGGAAATATTGTGCTTATAAAGGTGTAGCTCACGTCTTGGATTTTAACTCCTACCTATAAAGTGTACTTTGGGGCAGCTGATATATTCATACTGTACACTGTTTACAGATCCAGAGCCAAAGAACAAGTGAATTAATGATGTGGCTTAAGGAAAGAGTGAAGCAATCTGTAGAAGTCACCCATTGTGCAATTTGTTGACTCTCAGCAGAAGTCCACTGGCGCCACTTGCTGGTGGTAATCATCCTGTCAGAATCAGGGGTATTGGCCAAGTATGTGTACACATACAAAGTATTTGACTGAGGTTTTAGGTTGCTCTCAGTGTACTTACACACAAGAACAATTTACTGGAAGGTGGAAAAAAAGAATAACAAAGCTTAACAAAGATAAAAATAAACATAATTATAATGTACATACAAGTAGGTGTGTGTGTAAAGCAACAATGAGAAACAACACAATATCTATATACAAGTCAAATGTTTACATTAATTGTGAACAAATAGCCTACAAATTATTGGAAATTCTGAATAACCTCTTGATATGTACCATATCGTTTTCAAGGGGATCCTCAGTGACAAAAAGTACACAACTACACAAAGAAATTAAAAATAACATAATATACAGTTCAACCAAAAGCAAACAAAACAACAAAAAATAGAATTTAAAAAGCTAAATATTAAGACAAAATCAGATCATACTACAAGCAGAGCATGAAGATTGATCATTCAAATAGTGTAAATAAATACTGAATGGGCAATGTAATACGTTATGTACAGTATATGCATGAATACATATATACAATATATATATAGGATTTATATTTTACAGAAGCTTGCATTTAGTTTAGTTTTGTCAATGGTATTATTTGAGACTGAATATAAAGTAATTTCCCTAAATCTCACTACTAATCCCGGAAGTCGATGGCAAAGGGAATCCCGTCTTTAACCTGCCAATATAAAAAACAACTTTAACGTTACATAAAACATTAAAAGAGTGCATAACTTAACGTTAATACCACAAAATAGTTTAAATTCACACGAATAAAGATTTTTATCCAATGTGTGATTTCATTTAATAAGGGTTTATTTCGAAAGAAAAAGTATTCGGAGCGGAAATCCGCTTTGTATTGTGGTTAGCTTGACAAGAGCTGCTGCGAGTAAAAGCATCTTACTGCTGCATCGACCTTGGCCGGCTCAGGATGGCAGGGAAGGCCTGGAGGTCAGCGGTATGTACGCCAATAAATACGGGACTTGTTCATACGTGGTGTACCAAACGCTTTGCACTGTGTTTCAATCCATCACCTGACGCTGGCGTCTTTGAAAGCGGTTCAAAGTCAAAGACTGCAGCCACACCAGAGACGGAACTACCCGGATAATTAGCTCGGCGCTAACGCACAGAGGCTAACTTAGTGCTCGTAGTTACTATAGCAACCTGACTCTTGACCATTGCTAGCTGAGTTAGGCAGCTAGCTACATGTGTTTCTGTTATTAAACGTCCTAGAAAAGGTTAGTTTTGTACGTGTTTCAAGTTAGTTACAGTATGACAACAAATGTCCATGAAATGTCCCTCATCTACAGATTAAAGTGGGGTTTATCGCTCAGTGGCAAGGATAAAATCAAGGCAGGTAAAGAGCTTGCCATCAGTCTCCCTCATTAGTAATGTAATTAAAATCTGGAATGGGGATTTTCGTTTTTCTAAATCGGAGCAGCTTTGGTATTGCGCGTCTGCGGTTTCTGCAGTATTGTACTGTAAGCTGTCACTTGTGCTCTACAACTAAAGATGACCTCTTGCCTCGCTTTCCCTATTGGTCATCTACCTTGCAACATTCAGTTTGCTTGCATCTTAGTTGGCCTTTCCCTTGTTGCAGGCCTTTCGAGCCCATCCACTGAGACAAGACAACAGAAAACTGCCTTAACATCACAGCTAATATGCTATCTAAGGACTGATAACCCTTCCTGCTGACTGGAGTCTCCAGAGTGTCTTTTGCAGATTCATACATGATCAATGTCTTGTGTTCATCCTGACATTAACCTCTTGTATGTTACATGCAATAGTACTGCTTTTTAGAATAACAATAATTGTGTACTTTCTGGATAAAAAAGGAGGACATAAAAGGTGAGCTTTACTGTAAAACATGAGAGTGCACAATTCTTGGGTCATTGTGTTCATAGTATGTAAAGTACTCCTAGCTCTGTTCTTAATGTTTTTCCCGAGTATAAAAAATATACAAGAGAACAATATTGTATTGTATTTATGCTGTCAAAGTGAAATGGCTTGTATTTAATTTATTTTTTTGTGCCTGTAATAACCTGATCTTTTTTGATTGTCAGGTGTCATGGGTGGTTGGAGCTTTGAAGAAAGAGCCTCCACAACCCAGGATATTCACCCGTGGGGTACGTATCTTTCCTCTAGAGCTACAGCAAAATGTTCTTGAACATTTTTAATGCAATTTATTGCTTGTATTAAATAACGACTATCTCTGAAGCACATAATTATTCTTGTGTCACTGAATTTTATGTGTCTTTGTTCTGCCTCACAGATTCAAACGGTTACTTTAATCCCTGGGGATGGAATTGGTCCGGAGATCTCCGATGCTGTTATGAAGATATTTGAAGCAGCTAAAGTTAGTTCTGGAAAAGCAGAAAAATATTATTAACTAGCAAAATATTTTTTTTAGGTTGCACTTTAATTGTATTACTCCAGCATTGATACTAAGAAAATATGATCAAATAAGAAACACAATTAAAGTCTTTAAAATATTACGTAATGTAAACTAATCTAGTTATTTTGCTGTACATACACTTTTGATTTAGGCACCTATTCAGTGGGAAGAGAGAAATGTTACAGCCATTCAAGGACCAGGTGGCAAGTGGATGATCCCTCCTGATGCTAAAGAATCAATGGACCGGAACAAAATTGGCCTGAAAGGTTAACCTGCCTAATATACTGATTAATATTAAAATGGGATTCATTGCCAGTAAATTATTGCACATGGGGATGATGATATCCTCATACATATTTTCTTTTCTAGGGACTCATAAATAACCTCACAGTGGTTTAGATTGTTTCCCTCCATAATCCATATTTGTTTTTGTGTTGGCAGGTGAACTAGTAAATCATTTAAAATTATTTCACAATCTACAGGTCCACTGAAGACGCCAATAGCTGCTGGCCATCCATCTATGAACCTGTTGCTGAGGAAAACCTTTGACCTCTATGCCAATGTGCGCCCCTGTGTGTCCATTGAAGGCTACAAGACCCCCTACACTGATGTGAACCTGGTTACTATCAGGGAGAACACTGAAGGAGAATACAGTGGGATTGAACATGTGGTAAGACCTTTTAACAACACATGACTTTTCTAATTACATTTTATTGATTACAGTTTTGCTTATTTTGTCACTGGGTCACCATGTAGGTCTATTTTTTTACATTAGCATTTTTTTTCCAAATCATTCAAACACCATTTATAGTAAAAAGATTTTACCTGACTCTCTCTTGGATGTGTATATTTTCAGATTGTTGATGGGGTTGTACAGAGTATTAAGCTCATTACAGAGCAAGCCAGCCAGCGCATCGCAGAGTATGCTTTTGAATATGCCAGAAATAATCAGAGGGCCAGTGTTACCGCTGTTCATAAGGCCAATATTATGTAAGTTGTATTCAGAACAAATTATTGTATTTTGTAAATTGTCATGTTAAAGCTATTTACTAAAATTCTCAAATTAAATGGTTGTAATAATTTTTTTTACAGGCGAATGTCAGATGGGCTTTTCCTACGAAAATGCAGAGAGGCTGCTGAAAAGCACAAGGATGTTAAATTCACTGAGATGTACTTGGATACTGTGTGCCTTAATGTAAGTCCAAATTTCTTTAGTTTGTATATATGTTTTAGATGGATAAGAACATTTTGTAAATTTAACGTTCATAATTAGACAACAAACAATGCAACACCATGTAAGATTTGGTATTTTGTGTGTGTGAGAGTTGACGTGGAGCAGCCGGAGGACATCAGAGAGACAACCAGAAAACTTTTTCTACATAAAATATGATCCAGTTCAAAGGTCCAGTGTGTAACATTTAGGAGGATCTATTGGCTGAAATACAATATAATATTCATAGGTATGTTTTCATTAGTGTATAATCACCTACAGACGTCGCTGCTCCCTTTCCAATGACTCCGCCATGTTAAACCGCCATGTTTCTACAGTAGCCTAGAAGGGTCAAACCAAAAAACTAGCTCTAGATAGTTTGTGTTTTTCACACTTTTTGCAGTCACCATAGTTTATCCTTTGTGCTTGGAAGAGGAGGGTGAAGTCAGTGAGTTGCAACCTGCAATAACACCACTAGATACCGTTACACCCTACACACTGCACCTTTTTAAGGTAGAAAAGTTACATAATGGGGCTTTAATTGTGGCATTATTTGTACTTGTTTTACAGATGGTACAGGATCCCACACAGTTTGATGTATTAGTGATGCCAAATTTGTATGGAGACATCTTGAGGTAAGATAGATGGCATGTTCTCCATTATTTTTGTGCATCATTGAATTGGACCAAAAAGCAACATAGTCACTTTGCTAGTAAATGCAATTGTTCATGCAGCTAATTCTCCATATTCATACGTGTGTGTGTGTACATGTGTTGTGTCATTGTGTTTTAATGTGCATGTGGAAATATGTCAAAACAAGGAGAGTAGTGCTGACTGGGTGGATTCAGAAAATAATGATGTGTAACAACAAAAACTTTATTCCAGGCATTAAGTCATCAGTCAAAAGAAAATTTGACTAAAAACTTAACTAATTACTGAAGATGTTATGGTAAATTGGTGGTGAGCTTGCACAATGGCAAATAGCACTGACATTGTCTGTATCAGTTCAAAATGGGCCTATGTACATGAAAATCTAATGAGCAACTTCACCGTTTATGCACTAGAGTAAATCTAAAGGTAACTGTGTTTACAATTTCAGCGATCTTTGTGCTGGACTAATTGGAGGTCTTGGAGTAACTCCTAGTGGGAACATTGGCGCCAATGGTGTTGCCATATTTGAGTCGGTATGTTCTTTTTATTTGTCAGACGCAGGTTACGCAGTAGAAATCAATTATGTGAGATGTGTTAGTGAAGCACATGAAAGTTTCATCCGTTTGTATTTATCTTTTCAGAAATATGATATTTCTAGAAATTTGAATCATCATATTTGATTGTGATAAATTTGTCCTCTCAGGTTCATGGAACCGCACCAGATATAGCAGGAAAGGACATGGCCAACCCTACCGCCTTGCTGCTCAGTGCGGTCATGATGCTGCGGCACATGGGCTTGCACAGCCACGGTAACAACATTGAAACTGCCTGCTTTGACACCATTCGAGACAAAAAGGTAATGTGCTTTTTCAGGAAATGAAGAAATGCTGTTTGGTTATATGTTCCCATTCTGATTCTTAACACTTTATCTTTCTTCAAGGTTCTAACAAAAGACCTGGGAGGAAACTCCAAGTGCTCAGAATTCACTGAAGCAATATGTCAAAGAGTGCGGGATATGAACTAAATGGATGCTGGTGGGGCCATGAGTTAAATGTTAGGGTATGGGCTTTATTTCATCGTATCATGTTGTATCTGCACATTTTAAACCAGAATATGTATTTAAAAAAGTCTCAGGAGCTTGAGATCCTGAATGATTTATTTTTCTCTTTGCACACTCAAAAGCACGGTCTTTAAAACTCTCGACCAACAGTTAATGTATATGTGATATGCAATTTATTCCTAACCTGTTTAATCTGTGGTGGATATTGTCTATTTATTGGCTGAATTTGGGCTCTTGTCGAATGTATTTGACACTGTTATTTTAACATTTGTTTTGAAAACACAATCTGTCACTATGATCACTTGAAAAACACTTAAAATGTTTGTCACCAAGTCAAACTCTTCAATTACTGTATGTTTGTGGATATATTTCACATTTATGTGGGTCAAATATAGATTGGGGCTAAACAGACTACAATATAATAAGTCTTATGTCTTTTTTTCATGTTATATTGTTTTTCCTGCTACAGATGTAATGTATAAAGAAAAAATAATATTACAATGACACCAAAAATTCCAGACTTTTTATTCAGTGTTATACAAATGACTTTTGTGGGTGTCATACGCCCTCTCAGCTGCTATGATGATGACCCTGTGATTAGATTGCAGTTATTGAAGTTATGTCCATATTTTTCATCAGAACTGGTATAAACTGTATACTGAACCACCAAATATATACACAAAATAATGGCTTAAGTATCTGGTATGATGTTAAAGCAGTAAAATAAATTGTTGACAAGAAACAAATATGAATTAGAAACAAAATATTTCAGCCTACGAGAAGATGCATCAAAATGGTATCAGTATTGTCATAGTAAGTATGATTAATCCTCAATCTTTACTCTTAAATATATCAGAATTAAATATGGTTTCTCTATTATTTACGCATTCTATACATAAGACACATATAATTAAATTCCATGCATGTCCACAAGGATGTTGAGATATGCAAGTAACACGTGATTTACATACTAACAGCTACACAGTAGTTTCTCTAGGAACTCTATTCCTTATAGAAGTTGTCGATGACCTTGTGGTACATCTCCAACACGACGGGGCGACGAAGCTTCATTGTGGGACCTGGAACGAGAAAACAACATAATGCGCAATAGTTCACTGCAGTCTCAAACTTTAATGGCTTTTAATACAAAAATAATCATCTATTTATTATATAAAACTGTCTACTGAGTGATTTTCTGCTAGATTTACCCAGCTCTCCTCCAACAACAGAAAAGTCCTTTCTGAGAATAGTCCACTTTTGTATGCGTTGGGCATTGGAGGTGGCTGCAGAGTTGACTCTGTTGATTCCTTCTTGAATTGCCCGGTACACTTCTTTGTCTTTACCTCCTATGATGTCAGACACTTTGGTTGCTTGGCTGCCGAGCTGTCGGCAAACCTCCGCGGCCTCTGTACTCAGCTCCTCTGTTGGCTCCATGGTTTCTGTATCACTACAACACTGGAATGCAGAATTCAAATCCTGGTATCTTTATATTTCCACATAAATCATTAGTAATTATGAAAATTGTCATTTGAGCAGTATTTGAAGTTAATGTAAAGGGACTGTTTAGTATGCACACATTGCTGCTGTGTAAATGTTCGTTTATGTATTTAAATGGCTCATCATGCACAGATTTATTTGCAAATACACAGTTACGTAATGTGTCTTTTTATAACATTTGGTTCATGTCAAGAATACCCTTTCCATTAACTGGATAAAAATGGCATATTACCTTCAGGGTCAAAAGCATTGACAAGAATTTCCTCTTGTCCCCTATGAGCATGGCATTGCTGATTAAAGGTAGCTCCTTCTTCACTGCTTCCTCTATGGGAACAGGGGGAACATTTTCCCCTCCTGCTGTGATGATCAACTCTGAAAAGAGAGACAGGACACCCTGATGTTTCAGCTATTTATGACTCATAATAAGGATAATGAAAACATGAGCTCAGGTGTGGGTCTCTGGTGACCTAAGACTAGCAATTGTCTTGCCTTATTTGCTCAGATAGCTCTACCTTTTATTCTCCCTGTGATGTACAAGAAACCCTCCTCGTCTATCTTCCCCAGGTCTCCAGAATGCAGCCACCCATCCTCATCCAAAGCTTCTCTCGTTTTGTCTTCCATATTGAGAAAACCCATGAAAATGTTACGTCCCCAAAAGCAAATTTCACCTGTCCCCTCGGAGTCTATGTTGGCCATTTTGTATCGACAGCCAGGCACCACCTTACCACAGCTTTGTGAAAGAAAAATAATGTTTTTGGTTATTTTTATATTCGTAAAATTAACATTCAATGCATTTAATTTTACATACAATTCTTACGGCCCTTGAATTTTTACCTTGGCAGTTTGTAAGCTTTGGGACCTGACATAAAGTGAGGTCCCGTGCTCTCACTCATGCCATATGCCTCATACAACCAGATATTCAGGCCCAGGAAAAACTGCACTGTTTCACTGCTGATTGGTGCTGCACCAGAGAAGAACTTCTGACAGCAAGACAGGCCAAGCTCGGCCCGAAGCTTCTGGAGCACAAGGCTGTCAGCCAGGAAAAAGAGGAAAGGTTTCTCATCATCCCTGAAAAAAAATTTAAAAGTGAAATATCAATGTAATTAAATCATCTCACTGCGAAAAATCCATTAATGTATGTTGTTTGGAGGGTCATTTACTGTATACCCTTTCATCGGCTCTTACTTTTGCATACACTTTTGATTTGCTCCCAGGCTGACTGACATTGCCCACGTCACCAGTTTCTTTTTCACATATCCACACTCACTAATTCCCTGTTTTATCTTCTCCATCATCTTCTCCCATACTCGTGGGACACCCATGTGGGATGTGGGACAAACTTCTCGCAGTGTTGTTACCAGGCTTCCCTACGAGTTAAGTACACAAAGAGCTTAATAAGTATTTGTAGTTAATGAATATTTTTGGGAGGTTGGGGAAAACGGTTGGGACAAAAACTCTGCAGTTGTAACCACAGTAAGGCCTTACCTCATTGCTTTTACCTTTTAATTGAGGAAAGGTATATTTGATGAAAAACAGTTTCTTCTTAAACATTTTTTTTTTTACTTTAAAAGGCCTTTGTGTGATATAGGCATTTGTATTTACCTTCAAGGCATCTGGCTGTGCAAAGTATACCAGCTCACCCCACTGGATGCCTGTCCAGAGATCATAGATCTGAGCGGCAATGTGGCTGAGAGGCAGGTAGCTCACTAGCGACTCCTGTTTAGTGTCGGCCGGCTGCATGTCCCCGACCCTGCTGGCGTGATTTGCTGTCCATGTGATCTGAATATTCATCATAGATTAAACCAGAAGCCTTGTTTACTATCTTCTGCTTTAGCAACTGCTTGCATATAGTTATAATAACAAATGAGTGTGAATACAAAGAGCTTGACAATAGTCACATGAAAACTTACATTGTCATGACTGAGCATGACTCCCTTTGGCTTGCCTGTGGTGCCAGAGGTGTAGATCAGGACGCAGCATTGGTTGGCTCTCTGGCTGCGGATGATGTCATCCAGTTCTTCCTCAGAAACATCTAGACCAAGCTCCATGAACTCCTCCCACTGTCCCAAAACAGCAACATACACCGTCATAGCCTGGGCTCTACAATCTCTTTGACCCGTATCATTTCACATGGTGTCAGGAGAACTTACAGAGTAAAGGTTGGCGATCTTCTCTCTGGGGTGTCCACTGTACTGCACTATGGCTTTCAAATGGGGCAGTCTGTCAAGTATCTATGGTATTAAGAGTGAGATATTAACCACAGCTTGTTTTGTATATGTAAATACCTTTTATATATTTAAGTTATAGTACCTGTAGGATTTTATCCAATTGCTTCTGGTTTTCCACCACAATAATGTTAGCTTTGGAGTCACTAACCACATACTGGCAAGCTTCTGGTGAGTTTGTGGCGTAAACTCCTGTCATTATCCCCCTGTAGGAAGAATAGAGGTCATTATAGACACAGGAGGAAGAGTGAATGTGTCATTACAACAGTAGCAGATGAAATAATGATAATTGCAAAAAAAACCCAGTATATTTGGGTCCAGATATAGGCTGATTGAGACTGGCTGTTGTTGGTGGAGGATGTATGTTTCTCACCCTGCCATGATGGCACCGACTGCAGAGAAGAACCATTCTGCTGAATTGAATCCTAGTATCGCCACTCCATGGAATCGCTCTAAACCCAGCTGCACACATTAACAAACATTTTAACCTTTTCTCTTGTGCAAATGACGATTGCTAGTACTCAGTAGTTGTCGGCTGGTACACACTCTAGACAATAAGTTTCTCTTTTTGTATAATTTACCTTTATAAAGCCCTTGGCTGCTCTCCTGCAGAATTGATAATACTCTAAGAAGGTTATCTTTTCCCACTTGTCGTTCTTCTTGCTGGCGAGTGCGTACATGTTTCCATATTTTTCAACTGAGGCTTTGAACATTTGGTGAACTGTGATAGGTTCCTCTGGACATCCCTCCTCTATTCTCAGTCTTACTGAGCCATTGGCATCAGTGGTCCAAAGAGAATGAGCCGGAGCAAGAGGAGTGCCAACAAACTCCTCTTCTATGTTTTTCTTTCCTGAGATGAGAAAGAGAGAGAGCAAATCCTGAAAAACAAATCTAGTCCTTCCCACAGAGGAATAAAAGGCCACGTCTCAATATTATTCAGAACCAGTAGGGTCTTTTGACGTAGGACTTCCACCATAATCCGACCATCACAGTGGACACCCTGGACACCATTCAGCAAACCCATGTGCTCATAACTCACCTACAGAGGCAAGGTCTTCACTATCTGTCTGTTTGTGTGCCATAGACTCCTGAACACTGGAACACACAGAGGAAACATGGGCTCAGAACAGCTCATATATACACCACCCTCACATTGTAGCAAAGGTTTTGGCTGCTGTTTTCATTTCATCACATGGGTCTAATTTTCAGCTGCATTGTTTATCCAACACAATGTCAGGCTTTTGGCACAGCTAAATCCCCCTTGCTTTGTTTGACAGAATATATTGAATGAAAGCTGAAAGCTGAGAGCACCCTCACTCATTAAAACTACTATTTTGATATAAATTTATAAATTCAGAATTCAGAATTAAAGGTTGAAAACTTTCTACATCACAAAATACTCAGTGAACTGTTAAATGAGAGAGACGTTTAACTGGCAGAGGGCCACTTCAATACAAAGTGGACAGGAAATGTATTAAAAAACTTGGGCAAAAGTGTTATTGATATAAGAATATAGACTAACAAAAGTGACTAAATCAGTTCCGAGCCTCATCACAATAGTTTTTGCATTGTAGTGAATTTGAATTTAAAATGAAGTATTGTAACTTATCCCACAGCTAAACTGAAAATACACAGATTAAATGTTAACTACAGCATCTCATCATCCTCTACATTACAGTAAAGACACAAGAAAGTTCATTCTAGGCTTCTTACCTTTTCTCAAATTGATCATCTCCCTTCTCTTCATCAGGAATGTCCATACTGTTAGTGGTAGATGTCCTGGTGGTGTGG